GCACAAGAGGTGGAAGCAGGGACAGGTGACCCTGGGGATATAAATACATTGTCCAAGTGTGTCAGGATGGGGTTAGGAAAGCCAAAGCCCCCCTAGAGTTGAATCTAGCTAAGACAGATGGAAAACCAGCTGAACTGCCAGGCTCAAAGGGTGATTAGCAGTACAAAGCCCAACTGGAGGCCAGTCCCTAGTGTGGTATCCCAGGGGTCAAGGCAGGGACCAGTACTGTTTAGCAGTACATTATTCATTAATGACCTGGGTGATGGGACAGATTGCACCCTCAGCAAGGTGGCAGATAATACAAAACTGGGATGAGTGGTTGATAAGACCAGATGGGTGTGCTGCCATTCAGAGAGACCTGGGCAGGCTGGAGAAAGGGGCAGAGGGGAACCTCATGACATTCAGCCAAGGGAAATGACAAGTCCTGCCATAGGGGAGTAATAACCCCACACACCAGTACGGATTGGGTTCCAAGTGGTAGAAAAACAGCTTGGCAGGAACAGCTAGTGGTAGTGTTTTTCCACTTACTGATGGACAATGATTTGAAAGTGAGCCACTAATGTGTTCTTGTCAGAAATAAATAAATAAATAAATAAATAAATAAAGACAACATCATCCATGAAAAACTGTTGCCAGCAGTTCAAGACTGTGATTCTTCTACTCAGAACTGGTGAGACACAGCTGGAGTGCTAGGTTCAGTTCTGGGCTCCCCGTTGAAATAGAGATGGCATACAAGAACAAGTCCAGCCCACAACCAGAAAGGTCATGAAGGTTTTGGAGTATCTGTAATATTGGGAGAGGCTGAGAGAGCTGGGACTGTTCAGAGCTGGGACTGTTCAGAATGGAGAAGGGAAGACTCAGGGGGATCTTATCAATGTGTATAAATACCCCACAGGAGGCAGTAAAGAGGATGGATCCAGACTCTACTCAGTGGTGCCCAAAGACAGAATGAGAGGCAAAGGACACAAAATATAGTAAAGGAAATTCCATTGAAGTAGATTTTTGTTAATAATTAGAGTGGTTAAAAACTTGGAACAGGTTGCCCAGGAAAGTTGTGGAGGCTCAGGACTTGAGATATGCAAAAAACAACAGGACACTGCCCTGAGCAAAGGGCAGTAGATGGGCCTGCCTGAGCAGGGCAGTGGACTAGATGGTCTCCCAAGGTGCTTTTCAGTCTCAACCATTTATGGTATCTTTTACTTCAGATGCTGACAAACTCCAAAGCTACCTATCTGCTTCAGCTATTAGAAAGTAACAAGTTTACAGTAAAAAGCTTGTTATCTCTTCTTCAACCACAGATCTGGCCACAGCAATGAACCAAAAACTTGGAACATTTTTTATTTAACTTTCCTTGCCTGCAAACACATTTCTTTTGTCCCACCACGAGCCAGAGAACTCGGTCTGTATATTTGTATGTTCCTACTGCATCTGTATTAGATCTTTATACCTCTCCTGCCTCCAAAAATATCCTTCCTCTCTTAATATGAGTATTCCTTGTACTTGCATAAGCCTAAGTTACAGCAGAAAACAAACAAAACTTTTAAATACCTCAAGCAACCTGTGATAAAAGTTGCCTAATTGAAAAACTCTACCCTTGGAGCCCTCTGTGCGATAAGGCCATGTTTAGTTACAGCTTGTAAATTGTTGTTTGGTTTAGGTCACTTCTATTATATCACAGCTGTGATATTTAAAACATTAGCACTTTACAACTTTAATAACTCTAGGCCAGCATACATTAAGGAAGTGAAAGAAAACACGGGAGCACTCAACAACATTAAAAGCAAAAGTGTGCAAGCTGACTTGCAGCTGAAAAAAGAGAAAGAATGTCTGCAAAAACTCACCTCTTCCAGGGCTTTTTTGAAGAGGTACTTCATTTAAGTCCAGCCTAACAAATACACTTCATTTTACCTACTGAGACAAATACTAGTGACTCTTCATTGTCTAGGCAAACCTTAAATAGAAATATAAGCAGGCACCTGGATTGGGAAGGGGCAGGGAATTGCTTCAATTTTTTATTATTTTCATCTCTTTGATCCTCATTTGCCAAGTCACTTAAGATAAGAAACATAGAACAAAATAAGATTTAATAGCTCCCCTGAAGGCAGTTACACAGTTCTGAAATTCTCGGAGGATTTGGAGGTATGTGTGGAGGTCTGAATATATACTCATTTATAGGGTGTGTGTAGAAGAAACCAACCAGGATCTCCACATTTCTCTAGCTTTTTATTTCTACATTCAACAAAGCAATGGATAAGTTCATATTTAATATATACATATATATATATATATTGTACATTTAATCTGTTTTCTTCTATTTATTTCCCATCCAGTGGCAGATACAGAGTGTGTGGAGTTCTGGTTCCATGGAGAAAAAAAATGGAACAAAGAACATTAAAAATAAATACTCCCCCCCAAAAAATAGTACATTTGCCAAATGAGTTCTGCCTAATGTAGTCTGATAGTGGAACCCAGATAGTGGGACCCATGCACTTCCAGGATTTTCTTCACGTCTATTATTCATCGTCTCTTTGGCACTGCTTTACATATTTCTGCTTAAAACACTTTGAGAAACATATTGCAGCTAATTCTACTGCATTAAAATGAAAACCAAAGATGTTATCATCGTTTGTTTTTAAAAAAGAGAAGATGGGCCAAATTTGCTGTAAATTAGATGAGCCCTGTTCAGGACCACTAGCTTCACATTCAGCTCTGAAACCAGCACTCTGTGGATGCCATTTTTATAGTCAGCTATAAACAAAAGGGAAAAAAATGCAGAATGAGCCTTTGAACATAGACATAATGAATTTCTAAACAAAATTATCTGGAATTCACAGTCTCCATGAACTGAACTGTGAGCATCATTGATTCAAGTACAAACCAATCTTGTATTTTCACAAAGATTGTGAGGTACTTAACCTAACTGCTACACTGTTCTTCTTTTCTTCCAGAACAAAAGCAAGTTCCCACAAATCAGGGCCTTCTGGACATTTTTTAAAACTATAACTAATAAAGTCCTTGCTAAATATGATGGTACTTTTTCCTAATTGTTCAAAAGTTGGGGATAACACGCTCTATTTATTTTTTAGTAGGACTCTGCTGAGCTGCTGTTTATCTTACTGCTCCCAGCCCACAAGCTTTCAAAACAGGCCCAGCTGCTCAGTGTCAGCTGTGACCTTCCATTGCTCATGAACATATTCCTGAGCCCAAAAGCACAGAGGTCCTGGAAAGTCATCATTCTTGGGTTTAGCAAATATCAGCTGTATGCATTAAACTTTCATGTCTCACTCATCTGTTGGAGGTAAGTGAAAAAATCTGTGAAAATTCGCTGAATTCCTTTTACTTTTCTGTCTCCAAATTACTCCAAGTCCCTCACCTCCATGAGAAACAGCAAATCCCTACGTGGGGAACCAGTGGAAAAGCACTGCCAAGCATTACCCATGGATTCACTCTGCTGGAAAAGCATTCAGGCAGCCACCATTCTGCCTGACCATTCTGATATTTCATCAGACACTGCACACTATGTTATTGCTGCTGTTGTTATTATTATTTATAATCATATGTGTAGCATTCAGAATATAGAAACAGGGAGATATAAATATCAATGTGCAGAGGTAATTTTGCCAGACTTCGATTTTTTATAGATTCTCTGTGTAAAAGCTCACAATTTATTCCATTTTATGACAATTTTCAGCTCAGTATGTTGAATCCTGCGGTGCCTTTTAAACAGAAGTGTTGTGATGCAAGATGACAAATGGACATTCAGAACACACATAATTTCAATCACAAGAAGAAAAAAATATCAAAGGAAACATCAGGCTTGCTAAGGTGAAAAGGAGGTACTTTTATTTCATCATGAAGGGGGAACACTACCCTTGTAGCCTATGTGCTATCTGGAGCATTTAACATTTGCTTATGATTGACTATAAATATATCACAGCAGCTGTTGTCCTTGGATTTCTATTAACTTCTTCAAATGCATGCTCACTCCATTGCTACCCAGCATTCCAAAGCAGATTAATTTTTAATTCTGTACTACAGATGTCAGTTTATGTGATACAAAAACTCATTGTAGACATGGAAAGTAATGCAGAGAAACAATGGCAGGTGGGGAACTTGAGTAACACTCAGCCCCATCTCTTCCCAATCCATCCCAAGACAGCACGCAGCCCCAGCAGCTAAGCCAGGTACTGGAAGTACCACACACTGCACATGCACGTACAAAACGAGATGAAGTATCCTAATACAAACCACATTCACTTTCAGAGGCCCTGCGTTCATACAAATCTCTCATTTTAAAATTGTATGTACCATTTGAAGAAGTTGGCTTACAGAGTAGGTGACTAGATATGTCCCTAGAACCTAAAACAATGTTTGTAGCCAAGCAAATGTTCTGTCAAAAAGACAATATTTTGGCATGGGTATTGCCCTAAAATTCAGTTTGTTGTTTTATTTTACGTCTTTAAACTTTGTAGCAGAAGCAGTATACAAGCTACTAGAACAGCATTTCTTCATTGGGAGTATGCTGTGACAGCATGTATGATTTTTTAAGCTGTGGAAGTCTTGCTATTACTAGGAAATAATATACCTGCACAGAGCACAGAATATGAATTTGTGTAGCAAATTTGAAGGGAAATGTGAGAAAAGATTATAGCAAACTAGTGCCAGTGGCATTACAGTTGCAGCATTCGGAGTGCAGGCCTATGCAAAATGATCAGTGACACTAGAGGTGCACCTGTCATACACGGACAGGCTGAGCGAGCTGGGCCTGCTTTGCTTGGAAAAGACGAGACTGAGGGGACACCTTATCAATGTGTATAAATATCTGAGGGGAGGGTGTCAAGAGGATGGAGCTGGTCTCTTCAGTTGTGCCTAGTGACAGGATGAGAGGCAACAGGCACAAACTGAAGCACAGGAGGTTCCGGCTCAATATGAGGGGGCACTTCTTTTACTGTGAGTGTGACAGAGCACTGGGACAGGTTGCCCAGAGAGGCTGTGGAGTCTCCTTCTCTGGAGATGTTCAAAACCCACCTGGATACCATCCTATGCAACATGTTGTAGGTGATCCTGCTCAGCAGGGGCATTGGACTAGATGATCTTCAGAGGTCCCTTCCAACCTCAGCCATGCTGTTATTCTGTGTGATTCTTTGATCAACTGCATTTGTACAGAGAAGCACTCAATATGTGCAACTGCTGCTTGTAGTTGTTGATGTCTGAGGGATCCTGAGATGAATAAATAAACAGAGGCAGTCATTAGACCGTCCCTCAAAAGCTATGCGTACGGAACAATACCCTGTAGGAGTAAGAATAGAGCACATCTTTTACATCAGGGCAACCAAATAATGTATGTCTGTCACTCTGCTTCTTTAGCTGACAAGCTATTTATAGAGTAATGAATACTTTAGCTTGAGATGTACCAAAAATATGAGAATAAGAGTTGCCAAATTATCAAACTACAAAAAAATGTCTAATCAGTTCATCTTGTTTCCCTAGAGCCCTTTTAGTCACAGTGCTTTTAAGATCTCTAACACATTACTTTGGATGAATTTTTGAAGAAAATGGATTTGTAAAGTATCAGAAGAGCCAGATCAGGTTGTAATGTTTGTTTGGAAAAGAAAATGATCACCAGCTGTGTCTGTTATTTCAAATGCTTTGAGGGAAATTATCTCCAACCCATAGGACAGGTTTGCATTGGCTATCCTGCATGAGTTCTGCACTCTGAAGTTCCTCTTATGGTGGTGGGAGATCAGGACAAGGATGACCACCCAACACAGCTCCTCAGAGCAGCTCATGGGAGGCATCCCAAGATGTGCTTTGGGGACTGTTTTACTTAGAAATTGATGGAAAATGCAAAAACTAGGTCCTGGATTCAAAAATCTTCATGTTTACATGTTCTCACATTTGGCAAAGGCATATAACTAGGCTTTTATTTAGACTGCATAAGGGGTCCTGAGTCTAAAACTTCTTTGCTGTTCCAGCACTTGGCCTCTGAACTCTCCCACAATACGGGAAATGAGGGCTGTCATAGGAAATCAGCAAATAACAAGTTTTGAGTGAACAAAAAGAGGTATTCTTTACACAATATCCACTTAACCTCTAGAACTCATTTCAACAGAATGTTGAAAACCTAAAAGCAATTGCACACATTCATAAGAGAACTATTTCAGGGACTATTAAATTGCCTTAATTGGAGAAGTTGTACACTTTTGGAGACCAGATTATTCTGAGAAATGTCATCGTCCACTTCATGTATTTATTCTCTCTAGCACCTATCATTGGCCTCTGGCAAAGACTAGATACTGAATGAAAGGGAATGTTATTATGACACAAAACTCATGTGCTTTGTAATAGAAATTGCCATAGCTACTCATTTTTGTGCTGAATTTGAAGTACAGACAAACAGACATTTAGACACTGGAAAATTAAGTACATTTCTATTCATCTTTCATCTCCAAAATACAAATTTACTAATGATCAATAAGGAGACAAGAAAGACATGGATTTACATTTCATAGTAGCTTCTCAGAAGTAACTTGGATTTCTTCCGTATTTCTTTTTTTTCCCCACACCCCAAATTTTTTTAGAATTCCTGATACTTGAGCATCCTGAGGTCATGTCTGTCTTGTGAAGCTAAGGCTTATATCTACCAACCTCGGTGATGCCTGAAACTCATCCATATTCTGGCTCCAGCATCAAAAACATCTACCAGACACATCTACCAGGAAGACTGACCCACAGAGCACTTACTGATATACTGGACTGCAGTAACTTTGCATTGAACATAGTGCATCCAAACTGCCTGAGCAAGAGCTTTGGCTGCCAACATGTTTATCAGGCATCCTTGAACTCTCCTTCTCAAAGTGGCAAGTGTTTCAGCTGGACCTTTTAGTACATGTTCAAATGTTTACACTTGGAATGGAAGATAAAACTGGTCTTGAGAGTGTTGGCAGTTGGCAGTTCAGTTGTCCATCATATGCTAAATCCACACTGGGTACAAACAGTGAGCTTTAACTTCCCAGTTCCTTCAGCCTGAAGTCTCCCCTTCCACTTAGCATAATCGTATGTGTGAATTTTTTAAGGACAGTGAAATGAATGGTTTATCTGCACCACAAGTGCCTGTGGTCTGGACCTGCCTGTCTGCCATCACAAACACCAGCATAACCAACAACATCAGGCCATCTCTACTAAGGTTCCAGACACTAAGGGTCCAGGTAGCAATGTCAGGTTCCTTTCTGCTGGTTCTTGTTCCTGGATACAAAAGCATACCAATCCCCTTTTTTTTGTGTTTAGAGGCTTCCCATATTAAATGAGGCATTGTACAGTGAGCTGGAGATGATCAGAACATTTTTATACAGTCCCTGAACTTTATATAGCTTTCTTAGTTAAAAGAAGTGCAGCATTTCACTGCTGCCATGTATTTCTTTCAAGGATTCAGAGATTGTCCATGCAAATGAGTAACACCTGAGTCTCAGGGAACAGGTGCTTCTGTTCACAAACTTTCCACTATCTTTTCAGTTACTTGGGCTACACAAAACAGCACACACTAGGAGAAAAATAAGTAGCTCTCAGAGAAACAGGTTTATAATATTGAGCACATCCAGCTGTTTATTTTCTATACATGGATCACATTAGTAGAAAGTCTACATGCAAGTAATAGAAATTGCCTTTGTCTTACTGAGAATGATATCTGAAATGCAGTTTCTGTTGTAACTGTTTAGCATTGCTGATACAAGCCCAAAACATCATTGGACAATGTTAATCCAAAATTATGCATCCTTATTAGGAAATGTTTGGGTAACAATCAAAGGTGATTTATGAGCTAGAATGTAAAATATACAGGAATATTTTTGAGTATTACAATATCATACCATACTGAAAAAAGCAAGGAAGCTGAAATACAGCACTAACAATCTTCTTCTGTAGAAAGACATACATACATTGTTCTTTCAGTTTTAGCACAGGGGAAAGTTATCTCCTTCCAGAAATAGCTGTAGACAAAGACTATGTAGCTCTACATATACACACATTAACATTAATGTGGATAAATAAGTTACAGGCCAAATTTGATGTGGGGTTGTTCTGTACACATGACAAACTAAAAACATGTTAACAACAGCGAGAGATGCAATTTAGCAAATTTGTTGCAATGAGTCCCAGGTACTGATGTGTACACTTCCTTTTTTGAGCAATTTATTAGCACATTTCTTAAGCTTAACAGAATGATTCAATAATAAAATTTCTACAAATTCATAGTGTTCATTTTGCCCTCTCCAAAATCAAGGTTTTGTCACATCTACCATATGCACAATGTGGAAACTTTATGTGTATAATCTATCCAGTGCAGTTAGAGCTGTGGTCATTGAAATTCTAAAAACAACATCAGAAACATATGAAATAATGGACAGAATAACAGAAAAATCAGAAAATCTTTGATTACCATCAATCCTAACAGCAAAATTGTTCACGTATTTTCTAGAGCCTGCTCTGATTTCATTTACCATTAAAATAATTCTGATCATAGTGCTACCTAGTGCCATTTAGTCCATAAGTAAGACAAGACAGTGAGTAACTTGCATTGTTGAAGACAAACATGGAAGACATAACACCCCTTTAGGGAGTATAATGTTAATGTATCAAAGGGTCATAAGATGAGGGGAAACCTGTCAAGATTTCTGTTATTTTTAATTCAGTTTCTGCCATTTGATTTGGAAAGCAAACCATATTGAATCAACAATGTGAATGAATTAAAGGAAATGTTGTATTTATAAAATAAACCAGATTTGCCTGCCAGGTTCTCATACAGCAACCATTCTTTAAAATAATTAAATAAATAAACAGACTAAATACAATACAAGTGTATTATACACAGATAAATAGTACCAGGTGAAAGCATAATGTTAAATAAAGATAGAGCATACAGAGCTTTAAAAACACAATTTGCACACATGTGCAAACAACAGCATTGATAATCACAAAGGTGGCCATAGGTCAACATTCAGTCAACCAGGCTGTCCAGACGAATGAGACCCATAAGAATGCAGCTCCACAGCATGTACATCCCATTCATTCTTCATTCTTCCTCACTTGTTTTGATTCAAGGTCAATGCTGGATGCATACATGCCCCTGTCCTCTGGTTCCAACACTGGCTCAGCTCTCTAAACAGCCACCAAATTCATCCAGACTGTTCCACATAAAAATGCCTCGCCAGTAAACTTGTTGTGTTTTCTCTTGCAGGTCATGTTCCCTCATCAGCTCCAAGTTGCTCTGTGTTTATCAGGACAGCAAAATGAAACTTTAATGAGTGAAAAGTCAAAAGAGCACAGACACTCCCAGACTCAAAGCAAATTATGTGACAAACATTCTCTAGCCTAACAGAAGCACCTATGGCCCTAATTAAGCCAACAGCAGCACAAAATTCTGCTTAAAACTTGAAAATGCCATCTCCAAGCATTTATTCTGGTCACTTTAGACAGTGATGGCTTGGTGGGAGAGAGGTGGCTACTTTTCCAGATGACTGGAGTGAAATTTGGCACCGCTCATTGCTGTAACTGGCTTTAAGAGCGCACACATCCCTTCCTGACTGGTACAGACTGGCTCTGCTCACAGATTAGAGTAGGCTGGAAAAGTCAATTGCATTAGGGCATGAACTTGGAAAACAGAAGAGCCTAAAGAATTCAGCTCTGCATTGCTTGCTGCACACAGCTGACCGGAAGGCTTGTATGATCGAGGCCTGTGCTTAGACAGGACAAAAACATAATGGCACAGAGAAGTTCAGAGTTGTAAAAGATATGGAGGCATCCTGGACCTGGGAGCATGCTCAGATGATATAAATACAATGTGGGGGTGGAAGGAAGCTCTAAAAAGAACAGATTTTAGTCTGTGAATATCAGGTTTATTTTGAGAAAATAAAAAGTGCAGGTTAAACACTGTGGTTTTATAAAGTCATCAGTTTTGAGTATCTCTTTTTTTTCCCCTGTGTATGTATCAAGTTGCTAGTGGCTTGCCACAGTGGAACATTCCCTGTCCATGGGAGACGGACCGACCACTTTGGCTTTCTTCACAGCATTCTCAATGCAAACTTGGTAAAGCTTTGGTCAGCTTAGTCACACTGTAAACAACACTAAGCAAATAAATCATGAAGTACAATAAAGTGAATCGGAATGAAGTTCATTTGCTGAGTAAACAACCACCAGAGCAGTTACAGCAGTCATTTATCTGATGCAACGGCAAAATCAAAATAGAGTACAGATCTTCTATTACTGTAATCCCTGATCTCAACAGAACCCCTTAATGAAGTAATTCTTGTGATTTCTGACCACTGCTGTTTTCAAGAATTACAGCAAACATACTGACTGAAGGGTTTATAAAATAAATCATGTTCTGTATAATCCTATAGCACAGGCTACATTTATAATGAGTGTGATCACACTCTGAGGTCCAGATCTTCCAAGCCTCCAAGCAGGGAAAGTAGTCGCAGTCTTTCACAGCTCTCTTTCAGCCTACACAGCCAGGCTGCCTCTCTGTGCAAAATAAAAGTTTGGGGAGGGTACACTGATGTGAGTTTGGATGTGCCAACACTCCTAGCTAGAAGAGTTTAAAGACTCATTTATGGCTCATCTCACTTTTGGCTTCAACTATCCAATATTGATAATACTGGAGGATGTTGGAAGGTGGGTTTTGTTAGCTTGCAGTGTGGTGAATAGACTTTCTACAGACACACCGGGACAGTCTGTCTATGATATGCAGGTGATCAGCCTCAGCAGCCAGAGAATTCCCTTTCTTTCTTGATTCTCGTGTTCCCATATGACTGCAAAAATGTTCTCTAACACAACAGCAAGTCAGTGCTTGGCAGAGGAGAGTCCACCCTGACATAAGACACAGCAGAGTGGCACATGGAAGCTCTTAAAAATGGTGGGAGGAGGGATCTCTGATCAAGTAGAAGTGATCTCCAGATGATGAATACAAAGGAGCAGGTATCAGATATGAAAGTAGAAGAGCAGGATGGCGTCAGCCTGCTCTTCCAGACTATGGAGTGCCCTCACCCACATGGATTTTTGGAATAGATCTATCATCCATGAAAATTAAGGGGAAGGCTGATTGCCCAAGAACTGTCTAGGAATGGATAGGTATTTCTCAATTTGGTAACTGGAACTTAGTATTATGCATATTTTCCTCTAGACTCTGTAGTGTTTAATGATTTCCTCAGAAACATGTGACAGTAAAAAGTTAATTAGGCAATATAACCTGATTCTTAGATAAAAATAATATGGAGTAACTGGGAAATTAGAATTCTAAAGTGGTCAGCTATTTATAAAGACTTTTCTATTATGTTTTCTGGAAAACATTTTCAAATATATCTATATTGTATCTAAGGACAATTCTAGCAAAAGAGTTAACAAAAACTCCATTACTAGAGTTTTCATCTGTATTTACTCTTATTTGGGTTTCCCTTGTTATCTTTTTGGCCATTTCTCCCAATTAAACCAGTCCTTTATCATATTGCCAGATCGCCTCCAGCTTGTTTATCTTAATCTTGAAATCATGCAATTATTTTTTTTTTGATTACTCAACTATAGTCTCCAAGATGTGAACTGATTTTTATTGTCTGAAAGGGAGAATGTAATATGAAACAGAGAAAAAGAATCTTTTTAAACCATGTATTAAGGAAATCCTCATTGAAAATACAAAATATATATACATGTTTTTCTCCCATTTTGTTGCCAGCTAAAATTGACTATACCTAAATGCATTTTGTTCTAGTCACAGCCTAGTGCAATTTGTGGCATTTCATTCAAACAAATTGATAGATTCCAGAGAAGATCTGCAAAAGACTATAAAGTGAAATATATTTATTTATTTATTTATTTATTTATTTATTTTTCAGAAGACACACCACTAAAGAAGTTGGAGATATTTAGTCTGGAGGGGAGACATGGTAACAGTCTTCATATACGTAAGTCTGCTGCAGAGAATAAAGAAAAACTGCTCTCTGCTGTGACAGGAAAAGATGTAATTTCTAGGAAACTGCAGAAAAGATATATAAATTATGAAATCAATCTAGGAGTTTAAAAGTGTTGAACTGGATTACCTCTACAGTCAGGGAAGCTCTGTCTCTGAAGATGTAAGAACAGGTGAAATTCACCTGAGTCAAGAATGATGCTGATCTCCATGAGCCTGAGGTTAGCCAAGAAGAGGAATTAAATAAACTCTTACAGTCTCTTCCAGAATAGTCTGATAAATATAAAAACAAAGAACTGCTAAATGGAGATCTTGCCTGTGATACAGCATCCTTTATGTGCCAGCTTATGAACTCCTGTCTTTCAAACCACCTGTTCTGTACAGAGCAAGTCTAGGAGAGATAGCATAAACAAAACAGAGCTGAAGAGATTTTTCTACATTTAAAACATATTAGAGAGATTTATTCCCTTCCTTGTTGAGGAATAGAAATAAACACATTTTTTTCAAACAATGATAATAGTGATTCCTCCAAGCTTTTAACTTCTCCTTGTGAATAAATAAAGTGTCTCTTTCTATAAGACCTAATTGGAAATTTATTTCAATGGCAATGTTATCATAGTCACTTAACATGGCAGTTACAATGTTTAAATAAAGCAAACAATAGAGTTTGGGTTGTGGATTTTGGTTTGTTCTTTTTTTTTTTTTTTTAATCATGATAGAGTGTGAAAATCAGTTTTTGTTTCACTAGTTTGCTGTAGGTAAGATCGGTATGTGCACAGCTACGAAAACAAGTAACTAGAGTGCAGTATAAAAGCTGTGGAAAGTTCATGTTCTCTGTTGACCAAGTGCAAACTGCTTTTGCCTTCTTCCCTATTATTAATCATGAAATAAAAGTCATGTGAGTCTTGTTCTAATTATTATTTTTTCCAGTGGATAGAAATCTTAATTATGATAAAAGTTAGTTGTTTTTTTTTTTTTTTTGTTTTTTTTTAATTAATATAATATTTCTGTTCAAGAGACAAAAACAAATTCTCTAGACTTTACATTTATACATGCTGAAAATAAGTTCCTGGATTTGGGGCTACTCTGGATTTACATCTGTCTAACCGAGTGAAATGCAGTCCTTCAGTTAAAGACAAATGTTTAAGTCTTCTGTTGTTGCCCAACTTAGATTCTGGTCAGTTTGTCAAATAAAAAATCACTTGGAAATTTTCATATGTTATTGCTTTCCTGTTTAACACACTCAAAATTTTTAGGCTCCTGAAGAAATTGAATAATAATCTTGAAAATTAGAAAATTCAGAGGTGTTGGTTTTTGTGTGTGCTTATGTGTAGACTTTACCATGCCAAAACATATCCTACTGAGACACAACTAATAGCTACATGGTGCAACTACAGTGTAATCAACATGATGGCTATATGCATCACAGGGTAATGTTTCTAATCAGAAATCTAAATTATAGTGCATATGTTTATGTTACCAACAGAGAAAGGGCTAGCATAAAAATACCTTTTGATGCACCACAGGTTGATAAGCTTCCCCAAGAGGGGTTAATGAGCCAGGCTTTAGTGGAGGTGGAGTGGAGCCCAGGAAAAAGTGAACCCCTCCCAACACTCATGTGTAGGAGTTCTGTATGGAAGACTATCCCAAAATAGCTAGGACACTTGGTAGCAAGAGAAATGCTGGCAGCCCTCCTGCCCCTCATGCATGTATCCCACAACCAAGTTGTCAGAGCTCTATCTTTTGCCAACCAAGAGGTGGCCTCTTCTTTCTAGCACATTAGTGACCCTATTAACAAAGCCTAGCTGGAGGCATGCTCCTCATGCTCAAGCTCCCACCAACACTGCAAGACTTCCCTGCCCTCAGCTCCCATCTCTGCCATTCGAGATTTAGACATGGCCCCTCAACTCACTCTGGAGCTGGGAAGTTTCTCGTTTCTTCAAAGGAGAACTGCTGTGAACTTCTCTAACACAGATGTTAGATAACCTCTGAAAGAGCTAAATTCAATTTGTCGAATGAGTGAATTGTGTGGTGAGTTATCTCACTATCCCACCCTTTACAACTGAGATGGATCAATCTGAATGCTGCCAAGTCTGTGATGGGACAGAATTACAGGGTCCCAAGCAAGCCTTTAGGATCTTTGGTAGAAGAGAGCTCTGGTCTATCTTTACTTGGCATCAGCTCAGTGATTCATAATGAAGCGATTCATAGCCTTTCTTTATAGTAGCAGGCTGGGAGAAATGCTGAAAAATTGAAGGTGCTGCTTTCACTGTCCCTGGAAACTGTCAACTTTATGAGTTGACCAGCACCGCTGAAATGGTGCCAATCTGTGGGGTTACAACCAGTAATTCTTTAATGCCTTCTCTTAAGAATTAGGAATTTGTTTACAAGAGACCAAGTAATCTACTCCATTACACAGTCCAGCCTCTATCAGTTATAATCTATAAATAAATCATGTACAGAAGTGTTTTTAGCTATCACACATAATGAACTCATTGAGATTTGCTGTGTCACCTTTGTCAGCCAGCATGCTGCACAGCAGGGGCTGGAGGAGAGTCCTGCATTGTCCTGACAGAGACAGCCCTGAGTATTTATGAACCTAAACATTGCACTGAAGCAGAGCTAGACTGCAGCACAGAAAGTACGCCCACAGAGCAAAATAAAACACCATGGCTAATGTGAAAGCAAGCAGCAATTATAAGACTTTTGTTCTGCTGAGGAAAAAAATGGAAAACAGACTTACTTTGGTAGCACACATAGTATAAATCCAAGAGAGCCCAAAAGAACGGCAAGATTGTAATCATTGCTTTTGCATGTGGTTTGTTACACAGGCCTAGAACTACTATGTTTTACTGCTTAATATGCGGGTTTTTGATTAAACTTCTACTTATTTTCATTTGATTAAAACTTTGGAGTGGAAATGGTGTCCAAGCTAACCCAGGCGTACTTATTCTCCCCAAGCTATCACTTGCATATTCTGAACTCACACAAGTACACAGACAGCAATTTCATGCAAACAGTTTTAAAGTACGGGAATCAAGCTTAGTGCATTTTAATTGTCCTGGAATTACCATTAAATACACAGAGAACAGTTTACATCCCTCTGTCTTTCAACAACAAATTTAAAAACCTTTTAATGCTTAAACAATAGTTCTATAAAATTACTTTTAAATAATTTTATACCAGACACTTTACAGATCTTTTATGAAATTTAAATCTGGATTTTGTGTCCATCAGAGACAGGACACCAGATTCCTTCTGCAACTGCAGTTTCAGTTGTAATTCAGAACTGCTGATTCTCCTATAAATGACATCTCAAAATCAATATTTTCTAGCTTATGATACTAAAAAAAAAAAAAAAAAAAGTTCAAAGATAGTAAAGTAGATAGTAAAGTAGAGAAATGCTAATAAATATTGGAACTCTTTTACATTTTGCAAAATATGCTGTATTCCTTTCTAACCTAAGTCTTTGAAGTATTACCATTCTTCACAGTGGTAATGGGATTGGGTCAACACTGAATATTGTTAAATTCTTCATGTAGAACATTTAAATTCCAGTACTGATCAAGTTCGCTTTTCAGTTAATAATTTGCTAAGTACTGCCAGCCTACTGAAACTGTATCAGTTTGACTAAGAATGTAAGCTTATCAGTTTGACTAAGAATGTAAGCTAAGCAATCTGACACTAGTACTCAACATGAAAAGTTGTTTTGTCCTATAGCAGCATGACTTTGGCCATGTGCATGAAGCCAGTGCTATTGGATTTTACCTGTCAATGAAGACAGAAGAATCTTTTCATTAAGAAATCAAGGTTCACTAACATGATGTGACACAATGGGTCAGGGTTACCCTCTGTACTGGGTCTGGCTGGAATGTTAACTTTCCCGGCAGCAGCCCATACAGTGCCGTACTCTGTACTTGTAGCTGGAACAGCAGTGTTATCACACCAGTGTTGTGTCTACTGCTCAGCAGCAGTGGCACAGCATTGGGCCTTTCTCTAACCCTCCTAGGGGGTGGGCAAAACGTGAGAAGAGAAACATCACCAGGGCAGCTGACCTAAACCAATCAAAGGGATATTCCATACCATGTGATGTCACACTCAGCAATAAAAAGTGGAAACAGGAAGAAGAGGGGAGGGCTGGGCTCTTGCTGAGAAGACATCGGTCCTCCTCTCGAACACTGGCTGCGTGCGTTGAGGCCTTGCCTCAAGGACGTGGTCAATCATCGCTCATTTGTGGGAAGTAGAGAGTAATTTCTTTCCTCTGCACTTCCATATAGCTTTCATTTATTTTGTTTGTTTGTTTTCCTCCCTTCTTTTTATTTTTCCTTTTCCCCTCCCTTTTCCCCTTTCCCGTTTTATTTCCCCTTAGTTAAATTGTTTAGTTCATGGTAGTCTTTATTTAATCATTATAATTATTTCCCTTTAATTAAATTATCCTTATCTCAACCCGTGAGTTGTTCTTTGCTTTACTTCTCCCCCTCCTCATCTAAAGGAGGGGGAGTGAGAGAGCGGTTGTGGGGTTTAGCTGCCCAGTATGGTAAAACAACCACACCCTTGACAAGATTTTTTAAATTTTTCACAAAGTACCATGGACGTGGACAATCTCCAGTACATATCCTTAAAAATTACATGGTGCAATCAGGACATCTCACAACTGGATGGTCTAACCTCTCAACAGTGTAGCTTTTCCAAGGTTGTCTGTGATAATGTAATGGAAGTACATGAAAGTAGAAGTGATATATCTGTAACAAAAGATAACTTGAAAGTGACAGCATGATGTAACATAGGAGAGTATCTGAAAAAAAAAGTGTCTCTAAATACTATGAGGTAGAAAAACAGACCACTTACACAGAAAATTTGCAAGATTTAAGTGGAGACAAAACAAGTTAACAGCTTAAGGCACAAGAAAGAAAAATCTGTAACATAAAGCTGCAGTTTTATAGAATGGTTTCATAGAATGGTTTGGATTGGAAGGAAACTTAAAAATCATCTAGTTCCAACCTGCTTCCACTAGAGCAGGTTTCACAATGAAGAACAGAATCCCCGTTAAAAGTTCCTTCTTTTGGCAATACTGTTTTATTGACACTAATGCTATCAAACTTCACTTTTTTGAAAGTTTTCCCAACTTTCATTTTACTGAAATGTGAAAAATCTTGAAAGCTGTTTGAAGCAAGCCTACATCAGAAAATAAGCCCAGCATTACTGATTTTCTGTTTTTCTGTTTTTGGTTGTGTTTTTTTTTTTTTTTTTTTTTACTTTCTTCAGTCCAGCTATGTGTCATGACATCAGCTGCAAAGCTAAAACAGAATTACCATTCTGAGGCTAAAGCCAAGCTAGATAAGATTTGTAATCAGTTTAGATGACTGGTATGTAACAATGTTGAGCCATCAATATAGAAATGTATAATGTGAATGCAGGTCATAGTATAAAGAACCCCCATGCTGAACTTTCTTCAAGTGTTTCATTCGGTGTTGTCCCACCAGTAACAAACAGATTGACTTAGCCTTCATGTTTTTACGTCGTTAGCTCATGCTGGTCAAACCCTGCTCAAGCAGAAGAGCAGTCAGAGAATCGCCTGCAGCAGTTTTGTGATGACATCCCCTGGGCTCCAGCACAAGTGAGGACTGCTACTTTCCATTTCCACGAGTAACAAGGGAGCTGGCACTGGAAACAGGAGAGTGATCCAGCAGTCTTTCTAACAGAAAAGTCCCCTGCATAAGGAGAAATATTCACCCACAATGCAGTTAGATACTCTTTGCTGCTCACTCATAAAACTTGCCTTGGGTAGATTTGAGAATTAGGCCTCAATCGTAGGCTCATTTTCCTATCTTGTGCATGATGAGGAATGGAACAGCATTACTTCCAGACAATTTTGTTGACAGTCTTGAAAAAATCTACATTGGTTTCTTAATGCATCTGAAACCATTTATGTGCCCTCCAAAGCTTTTACGCAACTGGACTGGAAAACTCTTAGCCTTCCCTACCATACAATTATTCCATAATTCTGTCCTTAGCTGTCTTCTCTGGAACTTCGTCAACAAAGAAAGCTGAGAATGTAAAACTGACAAAGAAATTTTTAGACACCTTTGACTGGGCTGTTTTAGCAATACAAAGGCTAAAGGATATGTGCCTTTCCACGCAAAGAGAAGAATGAAATCCCTCTCAAGAGTGCATCCCAAGAAATATTTAACCCATTTCTATTAACCACAGGCTTGGCTAATATGTGGGAGCCCAAATGTTATCTACAGCAAAACATCAATTTATAAAAGTCAAAAGTAGTTCTGATAGGTAAGAGAAAATATTTCTAGCAACTGAAGAAAATAAGAATAGTATAGAAGATGTAAGACCATTTTTAAAAAAAACACTTACCTAAGAGCATTCCATGAAATTCATAGAAATTATTTTTTCTAAACATGTAATTGTTTTTCTTTGTTACATCTACAAGGATTGCAAATGTATAATATCCAAAGTTGTTCTCAGGCTCTTAGTTCCTGCACCACAGTGGAATTTGGCTCCAGATTCAAATACCTAAATTCAGATGTCTACATATATGCATCCACGTGTGAGCCAGCTGTGTAAGCTTTCCACAGACAGCAGTGTTCTGGTCAGCTCAGACAGTGGAGCCTGTAGAGCTCTTCATCATGCCCCAAAATAAATATCAAGGTCCTAATTAATTTGCCTATATTTAGGCACTTACTGCCTTTTGTATAATGTCAGGGAGAGCATCCTGCTTTGCATTAATCTGCCACTCTACAAGGACCCAAGTCTTCCATAGCCGTGTTGTCCCATGGACATGCTATGTGGGTTTCTCATATACCACAAGGCACCTCATGCAGCAGTAGACACTTGATATTTATGCAATCAAAATAAGGTCTTAGTGCTTAGTCTCCAAGCTCTGTTGACTCCATAACAGAAACTCCTAGTACACGTAGAAGCACATAAATTTATGGATTTAGGTATCTGTAACTCAAACAAATCCTACTCTGAGAGATCAATCTTCTACAACACTGACAAAGCTTTTGATAAAATCTTTTACTTTTTTTTTTTTTTTAAAGATTATATTTTAATAACAGAAGTCAGTAAATTCCTAAATGCCATACTGGTAGAGTGGAAGCATCAGTATCATAACAACAATTTTTAGATATTCAATGTCCAAGAGAAACCACTGGATTTTGTTAGAAAATTTGGTTAGTTATTTTGTAATGATAGTATTCTAATTCTACCAAAACTATGCCATTTCAGAATATCGGGTCGGAACACTTAGGAAATGTCAGACTATAATTAAAAATGTTCTACACATGAGAACAGATGATGAATACATCATGTCTCAGTGGGCAAGCTATGCTTCTGACAGATAAAATTCTGTAATGATTCTACCAGTAACCATATTATTAAGAATGCTCTTAGCTAGAGTCCATATAAAAAACAAAAGGTTTCAATCATAAGGAAATTGATACAGATGAGATTAAAGTGGCTTTTCCACTTCCATTAAGGCTCAGATGCACATTCACATTCCTGCCAGAAATAAACATGAAATACATGGAATTTTTAAATCCATGCAAGCCTAATTAAAAAATCTAATCCAGAGGGAAAAGGGGGGTGGGGGAAAGAAAAAAAAATAAATAAAGTTTTAGCTAAATTATAAGTTCTTGGAAGTTAACTCACTTGACTGACTTGGTGGGGATCAGCATGCAATACCCACTGGGATTGATATAATGGAACAGTAATCGCTAGATCTCCTGGCTGTCCAAAACCCTGCAGAAAAGGCCTTGAAAGCGCAGCTTTATTACATCAAAGCTCTTAGTCCAAGCACTTAGCCAACATAGTCTCTGCCAATTCCATTACCAAGTTAGTCACTCATATCACTCCTCAAAAAAAAGAAAATCTGGATAACACTGTCTCAAATTATTCAGCACAGGTTTTGACAAATGATAAAGTGGTCTTCTGTACACTTTACCATGTGTGCATGCATAGTTCATTCTTTTCTATCTAAATTAAACAGTGTAACGGCTCCTAAAGGTAAAAGAATCACTGTGGCAAACAAAACAGGCTTTAACATTTTGACATTACTCATTCCCACTTTTTCTCGTATGTCTCACACATAGCAACTACTAAAATGCAGATTTTATTCTGAGATCATAGACCTATGAATGCCTTAATTTTTCTGCTGCTCAACAGAATACATAAAAAACTGTATATCATTTCAAGGTGGTACCTGGACACCTTTCAAGAAATGGTTCCCTGCTTGGTGGAAAAAGAAAGCTTACAGAAACACTGAGAAGATCAAAGGAATGACATTGCTACTGTTAGTGAGAGGAGAACAAGAATCCAGTCTAGGACAGGGAAATAGCAGATGAAGGAGCAGAGATAACATTTGGTTTGGTGACATTTACTCTGATGCCATTTCAAAGCTGTCATTTTGAAGAGGTCATGGAGGATAGGTGAGGTGCCAAAAGGCTTGCAAAGGACAAATCAATGGTTGCCTTCATCAAATGGGAGTCAGAGGATTAGAGGTCAGTCAGCCCAACCTCAGTTCAGTATTAGCAGAGTAAAACATGTTATTTGAAAATATTTAGAAAATAGCTAGGAGATGAATCACAGTCAATAGTGTTCTGCAAATCTACTTAATTTTCTCCTACAAAAGGAATTTGGGCCTTATAGATAGACAGAATGCAGTCAGTGGTGTGTATCTTAACATTCACACACTTCATGGCACTGTTCTACATCATATTTTCATAAATAAACTAAAAATAAATACAGAAAGAACATACTGTAAATAAGTACTGCAAGTGCTATGCAAAATCTGTACCCAGACAATTCAGGTCTACATGTGAACTCAGCTATGCTTAGACCCACTCTTTGGCAGAGGCCATTCTATGTCCACATTGCTTGACTTCCTTCCCCTTCATAACATGCTGGCCACACCTAAGGTGCTTATTGCCTAGCGTAAGTGGTTCCTGGTCCACATCAACCTCACCCATGCTCAAACATTTAAAGTGCTGGTTGGCTTGGACCAAAATCACAACTGTCATAGTTTTGACAGGCTATAAACAGCACAAGGGGTAGACTCATGATACTAGGATCATTCATTGGCATGCTTAATTTTTTCATGTAAATCTGCTTAAAGACTAATTATCAATGATTAATTGCCAAGTTGGAAATCTCAGGGGGCATTTCAGAGAAATCTCTGCTGGAAATACAGATGTTCCATGTATGATCTCAATGACAAAGTGAGCAATGTCTCTGTAACTCAAAGTGGTGCTGGAGTGGGAAAGAATTGGGAAGGCACAAGAAAGCTGAAGTCAAGGATGGGGTGGGTTGAATGGAAATTCTGATTTATCTACACAAAATGAAGAACCGACTTTAAAAAAATGTGATGCGACTCAGTAAGAATACTGTTGTGCACTGCGTAGGCATATTCCACTGCAGAGAAGCTCAGTTAGGCAGAAGATCTACAGGAGAAAAAAAAAAAAAAAAAAGAAAAAAAAAGGTTAAAATGACCCACTAATTATGTGAGTTTACATTCAACAACATCCACACAGTGACTGTGAAGACAGGGTTGGTCTCACGGAAATATCTGAGCCCACAGCACTGCAGCCGGGGCACTGTGTCCTGATGCTCCAGTGTGGGGGCCATGGGGCAAAGTGACCCAGTGCAGCGTGGGGTTGCATGGCCAAGCTGGCTGAAGCTCTCAGATCAGATCTCCCTCAGCTGTGTAGAAACACCCAGAACCACCTTTGTTCTTGAGTTAGCTTTTCAAGGCCTTTATTTCCTTACTGCCTGCCCTTGATACCTTTGAAACATCTCTGTTTTTGAGCTAGTATTTCATGCCGCTTTCCCAGGCAATCCTCCTTGTACAGCAGCTTTGTAGTTTCACTGGACCCAGCTGGCTCTAAGACATCACAGTGTATGAAAGAAGGAGATGGAAATTGAAGCATAGGCAACTACAAACTTTATCTGGTTTCTATTCCTGCAGCAATAGTTTCTAGCAGAAGCACTAGTAACTCTTGGCTTGCCACAGAATTACACATTTTATTCCACACTAATTAACAGATCTGTTACTAACAACTATAAGTAACAGTTCAAACAAATAATGCAATTTTATTGATTTATTTGAGTAGAGAACTGGGTTTTCTGGGCTCCAGTCCAGAAAATATTTAGCCCTTCTCAATGTCTTACAATTCTGGTCCCCAATCATCCACAGCTACCTACCAAGCCACCAATTCCAATGAAAAACAGTGAAGAAGTGATAGCCTTCTTGTATATCTTGTCCTAAGACAGGGTTGAACTATGCGTGATATTTGCTTACCTCTGGTAGCTATGAAGTACCCTGAGCTCTCCAGTTTAGCCATAGCCCCAGTGACCCTCCATTTTTGCACATGGGGATTATGCCTAGATTCAATAAGCAAACCAGGCAGTCTGATTCCCAGATCACTGGAGAACTCTGTAAAAGAAAGGTAAGAATACCAAAGCTCACTTAGATACTCTCCAGCTCATTAGGCATTCAATACTTCTATGTGCTATATGGTTCTCCAGAAAATAATGATAAGCTGGAAGTTGTAAAAAATTATTTTACCAATTAATTCTCATTATACCAATCCCAAATTTGACTCAAAAAAAAAAAAAGTTTTCTGCAATACGAATTTTCAGAACTTCCCATGACATTCATTGGTAATCATTCAATTTTAGGAAAGTCCAGCTTCTCAATGATCTTTCGTCAGGGTCTATCCTACCTGGATACATCAGTTAAATAAAATTGCGACTTCACATAGTTTTGAACACAGTTAAAAAGATGTGTATTTGTAGCATTTAGCCTAGAAAAAAACATAAGATCTGCAAATAATCTTGCATTCTGAGTTTACTAAAATCATCACTTGCACTGTCATTAGCATCATAAACTAAATTTAAAATGGAGAATCCTCTGAATAAATGGAGTAACTATTGCAAAACCAGACATTTAATTTTGAAAGACACACATTCCATCAGACATGGTTAATACTGAATATTCAAATGTGTTAGTTATAAAACTCCATTCACATTCAGTTACTAATCAAGTCTTGACATAAAGCTCTTCTTCCAAAGTGAATGAAAAAAAAATAACAGGTGGAGGAAAGAGTGGAAAACACCTTCAGTGACTGGCATAGATTTTGATTCTTAAAACTCTACTGGATTATAATTTCTTCTGTTGTATGGAATTCAATGTTTTCTGTCTCTTTGTAAGACAGAACTGCATTTTACATCAAATAGGAAACATATGTTCTTCCTTGTTTTATAAAAATAATATGTTTCATATGACTAACATTGCACATTCGTATATTTCATACAACATTCAGTAAACACACAAATTTAGACATTGTCCTGTGGTCATTCAGAAAAAGCAATAGAATGTTTTATAGATATTAGGGAGATGTCTACCAATAATGTATTGTTCTTGAAAAATAAAGGAAAAAAAAAAAAAAAAAAAAAAAAACAGATTGGGACAACATAGGAGTAAGCATTTCTTCAACTCTTTGACACAGACTTCTCATTCAATGCATCAGACTCTTTTATAGAGCTTGAGAAATATGCTGGAGAGGAATTCACTGATTCAGCAATTAATTATTTCTTTCCATACAAGGAGTACACAGACTGAAGATTCAGACCCATGCACATTTTGTTTTTGAAAGCTTAGGAACATTTCTAGCTGGATTCATCATTTTCCTTTCTTTGCCTAAAATGAGGGATAAAACTGCCATGGCCCTTTCATTTCAATGACAATCTATTCTACATAAGCCAGAGAGGAGCCTGCAGGCCCTAGGAACGGAAAATATCGCAGTGGCATTATGTGCCAGCAATACTAATCAACACACAGCAGACTGCAAATAAAAAATAAAAAATAATTTTTTAAAAAGGGCTCAGATTAGCCTCAGTGACAGTTCAATGACAGGAGTGGCTCAGCCACCAACACTGAGACACAGGATTTGGCAAGTTCACAAGTTGCCCTCAGACTACCTTTTTTGCCTGTAAGATCAAAATTCCTCAGAAGCAGTTGAAGAGGTCAAACACAACATTTTCAACGTTTTTGACTTCTTTACTGCCCTCTGTTTCCCTTACAACCCCATGCAATCCACCAAGTTTAACAAGCCCTCAGGATAAGACAGTGTGAAAATAATGTTTGACATTAATTGACTTTGCTTAACGATATTTACACTGCTCCCAGCAGATAATAAAATTTTTCGAAGCCATTTACTTGAGAATCTTAGAGCAGTATAACTGCAGCAATTGGTTCAGACAGGGTCTGCTGACTCACATTCAAATTGTTGTTGAACAAGAACAAACTCTGAGAAATCATGCCTAGACAAAAGGTGCATGAACATACTCAGAATTCAAGGAAAACTGGTGCTGATTCAACTTCTGCCAATCCTAGGGCTGTCTTATTAGTCAGACCATGAGGCCAAAAAAACAAGTAAGGTCCAAATTGCATCTTTCAAGCATACGTTTTGCAAGGACAGGACACTGCCAACAAAAAGACCTCCATATTTGAGTCTGGTTTAAAAGTCACTAGCCTCCCACTGAGTTCCCATAAATACAAAATCATCAGTTGTGTAACTTGTAGCTATTTTCTTATAAACACAATTTATTGAAGGCATATTTTCTGGCATCACAAAGGTAGCTTCCTCTGTTACACACTGTTAAAACATGTAACATAAAGAGCACATGTGAGTGTTTATTCTTTACAAATATATTTGCTTCATCCAAAGAGTCAAGGTACTGAAGATCATACACATCTGAAAAAAAAAAAAAAAAAGGTGCTACAGGAGGGTCTATATGCTGAAAAATAAAATGTGACTGGATTCCCTGACCTTGCATGCTAGGTAGAAATGACTAGATTTTTTAATCAATACAATAATTTATTTTTAACCATTTCAGGTGAGCAGCAATGTGTTGGAACAGATCTTAGCAGTTATAATTTCAGAAAACGTATTTACTTGGAACAGCCACAGATGCCTAGTGTGAAGTGAAGCCTTGGAAGCCTGAGGGCAGATCTGACAGGGCCATTTTTATCATAGTTTCAAGATATGGCTTAGCTCCTTAGATTCCTGTTACAGCTGAGATACTGCATAAATCTCTGAACATTTGGTCATATTCTTCATTCTTGTTTTGAAAGGATCACAGAATCACATCATTGTAGGGGTTGGAAGGGACCTCCAAAGATCATAGGGTCCAACCCCCCTGCCAAAGCAGGTTCCCTAGAGGAGGTTGCCCAGGTAGGTGTCCAGATGGGCCTTATATATCTCCAGAGAAGGAGACTCCACAACCTCCCTGGGCAGCCTGTTCCAGTGCTTCATCACCCTCACAGTGAAGAAGTTCTTTCGCATGTTGGTGCAGAACTTCCTGTGCTCCATTTTCGTGGCCATTGCCCCTTGTCCTGTCCCCACAAACCACTGAAAAGAGGTTCGCCAAATCCCTCTGTCTCCCACACTTGAGGTATTTATAAACTTTGATAAGATCCCCTCTCAGTCTTCTTTTCTCCAGGCTGAACAGACCCAGGTCTCTCAGCCTTTCCTCAGAAGAAAGAGGCTCCAGGCCCCGTATCATCTTTATGGCCCTCCGCTGAACTCTTTCCAGAAAATCCCTGTCTTTTTTGTATTGGGGAGCCCAGAGCTGGACACAGTACTCCAAGTGAGGAGATATCCTCTCTACCAGTATCTTCGGTAGATCCTGGCTTTGTTGTACCATACATGCAACATGGAGCTGGATTAGCCCACATGGCCAGAAAAGTGAAAAGGGACTTAGGGGCACAAAAAAAAAAAAAAAAAAAAAATGTGAATTGAGTATAAAATACTCATCTAGTGGTCAAAGTATAGAAGGCTACCTGGTTTAGAGTTGGTTGAGATAAAATACTCTCTGAAAGGGCCTCTGTCTAGCAACAATGAAGAGAGTCTGAACAACTAATTTTCAGTGGATATTTTTAGATGGCTGGAAACAGTGAGATGAATCCCACCTCCAGAGTTGATCATTTCTGGCACAGAAGAACTCACAGTGAGTCTATCTTTGTTCACTGAGTCTATGCAGGAGAGACCCAGGAGAGATGTATGATGGGACACTATCTGAAATTCGGAATTCAGCTGAGAGAGGAGTGAAACTGGAAGAACAATTAAGTAATATATTCCCTTCTGCCAGTTATCTGTTCCAAAGCTGAAATACAACTCAAGAGCATCCCCAAGTGACTACAGTTTAAAGTGTACTTTATAAATAACTGCTGTGCATATTCCAATGTTTCCTTTCTGTGTTTTCAGACATACCTACCCATTCTCACTCTTTTTTTCATGTTTTGTATTTACACCAGTAGCAACCATCCTCTAAGCTAGCTTCATTCCTCCAGCAATATTTAGAATACAGATTAAAAACAAAAAGATAGAACATCCGAAGAGTTTTTCAGCATTTAAAAAATAACAGTAGTAATAATAAAATCTCTTGGTATTGCAGGACATTCACTGCATATAGCACTAAAGCAGGTATCAGTTTATCTCGTGGTTGGCTGGGAAATTGGAAAAAAAGAAAAAAAAGAAAAAAAAAAAGTCAAGGAGAAACTCCTAAATCCAAAGGAAACTCCTAGGGTATTACTCTCTCACCCCTAACTAATTCTTCTTTGCTGTAACATTAGTTTGGCTGCTTTCAACAAGTAAAGAAAACTTCAGCAAATTGACAGAAAATTTAATGGAAAATCTGTGGAAAGCTGTCTTATGCATGTGGGCAGTTCAATTTCCTCTCCATCAATGTTACCTCAGGGAATCAGCTAGCTGCTTACTATGTTTTGACCTCACTGGATTCTCATGAAGTCATGCTATGAAAGCCTAAAACTTTAACTTTGCTATTCTTAATGAAAATGGCTTAGCATAGCATAGCAAGTGCTATCCGCTTGCTGATGAATAACTATATGAAAAAAAAAAATGTGATCACAGATGGTTGAAATAACTGCATTATGTGCCTTAACAGCAAGAAAATCAAATTTCAGTTTTGCAAAACTGTGCATCTCCCTATGTGATGTAGTTTTCAATTCTTATACAATAAGATGTACTAAATAATGTGACTTTGAAATGTAAGCATCTGACAAGAAAAAGCTGTTACTAAATATAAACCAACAAAAGCAGAGCAAATTTAAGTTTAAAGGGATCATACCTTGCTATCCTTGTACAAAGCAATCAAACTCATCCTTCTTAATAGCCTTTGTGAAACAAACCTTTGCATCAGATAACATCCCTGCTACAAAAACCTTTATCTCAGTTATTTACCAGCTATTGTCCTTCCTCAAATAATCAAATCTGAAGGTTGGATAAGCAATGTTATATGCAGGTATGAGAGAGGAAAGCAACTACACCAAGCAGAATTGGAGAGGACTGCATAGGGGTGAAAACTGGGTTGCTAAATTCTCTGGGCAAATTAAGGTAGAAATATTCTGATGGTGAAATTTGACATACTATTTAGTCTTGAACAGTGGAAGGCATGTTTCATAACCATATGATATCATAGCTATAATCATAATGCAAAATTCCCATTGACTTTGTACTATAACTCTCCCTGCAAAGTATTGAAGATAACTTCAAACTTGTTCTGAAGTGCTGAAGAAGTATTAATTCAGATGCTGCAGTTATCTTAGCCTGTAGTGAAATAGGGTTAAGCTGAACTGTAATAACTTAGATCTGGGACATGCTTCAAGCACACCCACAGAATTATTGTGGCTCAGCTGACATGCAATAACTTGTCAAACTCCACCAATTTTGTTGTTTGTCTGAACCCTAAGGCTGCTTTTCTCTGACCTACCTAGTCAGGCTTGCGAGCAGCTGCCACACCTGTCCTGACAAAGATGGCACATTTGGAAGGGCCTTACTCATCCCACATGCCAAAAATGAGGGGGGAAGCGCCAGCATTTTCAATTCTCTTCCATGTTCCAAGCAGACTGTACTGGGAAAGTCCCCTGCATAAAAGACACAACTGACACAGTCTGTGATATCACTTGGTGTCCCGTTCACCTCTGATTTAATTAACTCAAATAGACTTTGCCATCCAAATAGGAAAAAATGTTGTCTTTAATATTTTGGAACGTGAGAAATGAATAAGCAATGATGAGAACTTGACACAGTGCAAGTAGTCATTATCGAAACTTCCTTGCACTGTCCCAGCAACCCTGACTTGCACCAGTTTGCCCTGAGGCTGCCAATAATGAGGAATTTTGGCCCATATAAGAGCAACGGAGGATTGCCAAGAAAACCTACTCATTTATTTTTTGTGACATTCTTAGAATTTGTGTCACAGTCTCCCATTCTGAAAAATCTCAGGAGGAATACTGTTTCCTGGGTTATTGTTCATAAAAAACAACCTTGCTAAACATTGCCCTGGCAGCAGAAAACTCATCCTCAAACTCTTTGTTGCACCAGACTACTATCAAATGATAATATATCCTTATTGAATATAATTAATATGAGGAATCAGTAATATAATCTCATTTCAGGCCATATTTTGGATCTGAAAGATAGCTTAAATTCACATCTTCAAGAAGAATCTCATTTAGTCTGCCAAATATTGCTTAAGGCAAGAACAATGTTTGTAAAATATCTCTACTTTGTCTTGCATCTCTTACATATCTTTGATGTTCAGACACAATAGCTTTCCCTCTCAGCCTGACTTCAACAAAAGGTTACTGCTAGTCAGACCCTTTCATGTTCCTTTCCAACTATCTAAAGGCAGATCATACGGGCAGATAAACTTCTTTCATTCTTAAATATCTATCCAGATACTTTTACTTCCTTTTGTCAGTAAATTGATTCAAAGGGTTGTTTTTTTGTTTTGTTTTTTTGTTGTTGTTTTGTAATTAATATCGTAGCAGAGCATTACAGCTTTTGCATAAAATGTTCCACTCCACTCCCCCGCCTCTCTTTTCTGTCTTTACTGCCCGCAGTATCACAGTGTCTGCTTACAGGTACATGGGATTTCTCTAACCTCGGACAGGAGCCGTTTGCAGCATTAGTCTGTCAAGCACCTCTGGAAGTAATCTTTTCAGTACTGCTTAGCCCCAAAGCCAAATCTAAAAGAAAGTTACTTAGAAGAATGCATTTGGCCAATCCATTTTTTGTCAATGGAAGAGTTCAAAGTATTTGTATTGAGAAAGTCTGCTCCCAGATGATTTCACAAGTAAAGTCTAACCCCGTTGGCTAGCTAAAAAAGGTTTTTGCAGCATGTTCAACAAACGTTGAAGCCAAAAGCACCATTAATTTCCCAGTACTAGAGGGTACTTGACAATTTTGTGAGAGGAGTTTCTGTTGACCCTCTAAGCTAGGGCTCATGCAAGAGTGAAACAGTGCAGGAAAGGAGCAGGGTTGGGTTGCCTCTCCTGTTGTTTTAACTGCTTGTTTATTGCGTGTTCCCAAAGGCCTGGGAGAAATTACTGTCACCAACAGCCAGTCTAATGGCCCTGGACAAGCTGAAAAACAAAGAAGCCCCACCTGAGGGGTCGTAGCTCATATAAACTGGAGCAATTGCAGGGAAAATGCCACCAATGGTTTGAAGGTAGGTGTTAGGTTAAAGCAAATTAAACAACTGTTTTCCAGTGAACCTCTTTAAATACCAGTATGTTCCAATGTATGAATAACTACAGAGGACCGAAGGTGTTGTCTCATATCTTCCAGCATACATCATATGTTAAGTCTCAATAGGCAGACTTATTCAATTTTGTTTGATCTCTGCTGTCTGGAACACACTACACCTGTGAGACAGACCCCATGTGGAAAGCACGACTTGTAAATGAAAGCCAAATGTGGCTGGAAATATTGCTCGTAAGTCAGAACATGTATTTCGCTAGTGCTTTCTCACAGACTTTTGTTCCTCATTTTTTTAGGCTTCTTTTGAGCAAGTTATGTGTGTACAGCTTCTTAGGACACGTTACTGACAATTTTCTTGGCACTGAACTCCAGTTAACACCAAGATACTCAATTTACTATCTACATTTTTACATCTCTTTGTTATGCCAACCACTTCTCTTGGCAATCAAAAAGCTTAATTTCTACAGCTGAGTCATAGAGACCTGCTGGGGGAAGATAAGGCTTCAATATTTGTAATCAAATACATTCTATTCATTACCAGCATAAGTCCAATAGCCACCCAAAACTGTCCTTTGGTCTCTTCAGAGACCATTAGTGTGAAGCATAGCTTGACGTCCACCACCCAGCAAACATGAAGATATTTAATACAAATAGTTATTTAATACAAATAGGTACATTTCTCATTTTTCAATCATGTTTTCTGTAAGGAAGGTGAGGCTTTGAAGTTTTATGATGGACTGGTCTGTTTACTTCTTTCTTGGTTTGTTCAGTCTGCAAACACAAATTGATAAGCATATTGTTACTTTTGAAAATTCAAAGGGAAGAATCTTTTCTTCATAATCCACTATAAAAGAGTGCTAGAGTTATGCAAGCCTATGAAACTCAGCTGCAAATATTGGGTACATATTAATTGTTAAAAAAAAAAAAAAAAAAAAAGACTTTCCAGAAACATTTTATGACATTTCTTAACACAAAAAATTTCTTCTCTCCATGGAGGAGTCTCAACTGAGCATCAAGACATCAAGAAAAGGCTTGAACCTGGATGTTCGAGCAGTTTTTGTAATTCAAATATTAGCCAGTTGCTTCTGTGTGCTATTAAGAAAAGCTGATTTGCCAAACACAGAAAATCTGAACTGTCCATGTTGCTATTACCATATATGCATGTGGAAGAGAGTTTTTATCTTTTGAAAATTCAGCTTCTAATTCAGTACGGGAAATATGTGAACAAGTCTCCCAAAAAATTTGGTTTTGCAGTTAGGAAAGAAAGTACCGTTCTGAGCTGGGGTCTAAGTAATTATTCCCATTGCATTTACTGTCAGAGGTAAATCTTACTAATTTTTCTCGGAAGACAAGCAATAGTGAAGCAGGCACAAACAATGCTGATGCAGGCATGAGCAGCATTATATGCTTAAATAGCCTACCACCCAGACCACAAAGTTTAGAAATCATTGGCCACATTTTCTTGTGATATAAATGCCATAAATTCCACAGAAGTCAATCCAGGAATGAAAGTCAATGTAAGCAATTTACAACATCACAGCACTTGCCACAAGTGCAGTGGGAAGAACACCCTTTTCAGTAGGCATTATCTACAATGACTTATTTTTGGCATTTGCCTGCAACACCTGCAGGTGCTGCAAAAAGAATGATTGCTGAGAGCAGGAGAATCATAGATAATTTTGAAATGCCATACCTCATGGAATACAACCCATTTGTCTTTATGGGTAGTTCTGAGGGAGAAAGATGTTTACTTTGGCTGTATAAAATATTGAGAAAGAAATTTTTGCTGTGCACTCATAGCTCAATAAAATAAGGGTTTGTTCCTCTGTCACTAGAAAAGCAATAAGAATGTGAACTGAACTGGGGGGCTGGAGGGGCTTCTAAAACCTTCTTGTATGCTTCAGACATGCTTAAAACTTTTTAAAGATCTGGTGAACCAAAGGTCAGTCGGGGGTTAGATGTGGTAGTGGAAAACTATCTGGCTGGCATAGTACATGGAATGTGTTGCAATCACTTTGAAAAACTCTGGAAATCTAAAGCTGAGGAATTTTATAGAAATTAAGGAGTTATTGGCAACATTTTTAACAGGAGACAGTTCAGTGGAAATATTCTCATCCTGAAAAAACTCCTGATGACTTTTCTGGTTCATTTGTTTTTATTGTATGGCAATAGACTGACACCTAGTGGATAACGTCCTCTCAGGAATACTAGGCCTAACCAAGACTAGGGAGGAATTGTCTGATCTAATCTTTTTCCTCATTTTTAATGGAAAAGTACATTTTTTACTAGGAAAAAATTTTCTTGGAAATTTTTCTCTTTCCTTTTTCATAGAAAACCACAATTCTTTCATCACTTGCCTTCTTGAAGCAATTCCCCCCAACATTTGACATTGCTGGCTGAAACATAATCTGCACTTTTCCTCTTTTTTCTTTAGAGGAAATTTTAATTTTCTTTTTTTCAGTTTCATGCTGAAGTTTTCCAAGCAGCCACGTCCCTGATTTCTATCCCTGTGAAACATCCATTGTTGTTCTGTGTAAATCCTCCTTGCTGCTCTGACAGGTCAGGAAAAGAGAGTACAGAGTAATCACCAATCTACAAGTTGCTTACACCCACAGCCAGTCATGGTTAATATCCTCTAGTCTTGGGCCAAGGGCGCAAGTGCCCAGGCACTAGAACAGGGTCAAGCTTTATCCCCAGGAAGAAGTCCTTGCTATGAAGCTCATTTATCAGCAGCTGGCCCTTCCTGCAGTAACCCTCTCTGTGATGTCTGCATTGTGGCCCAAGCGAAACACATGGAGATTAAAGTCTCTGGTGCTCTCTGCCTCTCAAGGTGATGGTTTTCTTTCCAAGTGATGTCTTTAGGCACCATCCTTTCATAATCAAAGCCAGCTCTTCCCTTTGTTCTGCTCTGCTGACACCTCCAATGTGACTAATCCAAAAACTAATCCAGAAACCCTCCCAGTGGGGCGTGGGGGTGGGAAGCACCGGCCTCCCTCTCAGAGACATCAGAGGGCTTCTGCAAATTATAAGCTTGTTAACACTTGGTCATTGCCTGCTGGATGCTGGCCCGGCTTCCCTGACATCTGCAAACAGGAGTGGTTTGGGTTTTGTTGCTTTCTTGCGAGTATGTTGCTGTGTTATAACATGAGGGATCAAGAGAGGAGTCACCAGGGCAGCAAGGTAAGGGGCCAGGAGGTCTGCAAGAAGCCATGGGAGAGTATTCATCAAGGGATGGCAGGAAAGCCCTTCTTGTCTCCATCCTCAGCAATAAAATGGGAACTATAGGTAGCTGACTGCCAGATACCTTTTAGCTCAATCTACTGGGCTGGTGAGATATCTTGGGGCTTGACAGAAGAACAAAGTAAAAATACTCATTCCTAAATGACTGGGAAGGTAGCAAATACCTCAGATACCATGGAAATGCAACTGGCAATGATACCCAGCTGTGGTGGTGGCTCCTAACGTGGTTATAAGCAATCCAATTGATTCTACTTTATCAGAATCTCTGCTTCAAGGAAATAATATATTTAATGCCAGGGTTGTGAAATATGTGCTCTACGGACTCAGCTATTCACAAAGTCTGAGCTTTATTCAGATAGGACACTGAAATATTGGTAAGATTTTTCACTCAAGTTTCTTTCATTCTTCAGATTTACTCAACCAATAATTTAACTCAGCAAAGTGATCTGACTGTAAGCCTGCATTTTTTAAGAGTAGCTGGGACAATAAATCACGAGTAAGAGTCCCTGCTCCCTGATTTAGAGAAGAGAACAAACAAGACCTGTCTCAGGAAAAAAAGCACACAAGCATAATACTGTAACGATGTGGTACTTCGACTGCAGTAGAGGAATGAGCCTGGAGGAAATATACACATTGCCAATCAAATATGATTTGATTACATATGCACAGAAATTGTTGTGGTTTGCAAACGTTCTTGTCTCCTTCTTTCTGTACTACAGCAAATATTTTTCCAGGCTTGTTTAGATGCATTTTTTATAATGTTATTTCATTCCTGGACCTAGAGGAAAAAATGAACAAGGAGCAAATTTCCAGCACTGTTGCAGCTGAGAATTTCACCTTGACAGTGAAAAGCTGTTAGATCCAAGCTTGGACAGATACTGACAAGAGGTCTAGCAGCTGCTCAGCCACAGTATTTGTAAACTTTCTTTTCTTCAACCCAAGAAAGAAACTGACAGGATCTGTCCTAATGTGTTTTAAACAATAAACAAATATGATGATACTGGAACATTACCATTTTCCCATTGCTAATTTGTTGTAATAATTCAAGGTAAATGATTATATTCCTTAGAAAATGTTATTAACATCGGTAACAGCAGCCAAGATAACAGTCTAGGCATGTTTTAAATACTAGAAAACCAAAAGTCCCAGTGAGAAACCTCAAAATGCCCTGGCATTTTCAGGGACGGAGGCGGTGGTGGTGACTGAGTGGGTCAGTGCAGCCTGGCACACTGCCTGGCCCCGGGGTCACCAGACATCCCACCAGCACTCAAATTGTCCTCCTGGCATTCCCCCCCAGCCTCTGGAGCAGAAGCTCATGTTTGATTGCGTTCAAAGGCAGATTGTCTTCGCTTGGACCCAGTCCCTGCAGCAGCGGAATATCCTAATTATTTTTGCAGACTCAGAGCAGCACTGTTTTGCCATCTCGGCAGGCCTGATTTCAGGCTGTCTGAGGGGTAGTGCATAGGTTAAATAAGGCTACTGTGGATGCTGTTTGCCTTTCTTATCCAGGAGAAACACAAAACATTCATGGTCTCATCCTCCCTGAAAGCTCAGCAACCCTTTCACTGGTGGCAAATTCCTCAACACCAGTCTCATCAGGATCAAACAGAAAGAAAAACAGAAGGAAATAAAAATAATGACCAAAATCTGCCAAATGCTGTGTCTGGTGCAGTTCCTCTCTAAATCCCCATGGGAATAGATGGGAAATCAAGAGAACATAATGCCAGTTTTTGAACTGTTGCTCCATCCTCCCTAACTGTAAAATGCTACAGATAGGGTCCCTGTCTGGAAATATTTATAAAAAACAAAAAGCAGAAAAAAAAAAAATTACAGGATTTGCTTTTTTTTTTTTTTTTGCTTGAAGTGCACCTAAATACTGATTTAAAAAAGAAAAAAAATATATATATATATACATATATATATATATATATATATATATATATACGCATCCAAGCTGTGAAATCAGGCGCCTACTTCTTCCAACCCAGACGGACATCTTCTTTGCCTGCACACACACAGCCCTCACCATGGAAAACAATCCCTCCTGATTAAAAATGCAGGCTAAGCAGATGTGCTTCATCTTCTGCACAGCCCTTCCCTGGGCCAATATTCCAGAGGATGAAGCTTGGAGGGACACAGGCCAGCACCAGCCCCTGGCACGTGGTTGTGGAACAGCCAGCTCCAGCCCCGTGGGCTCTGAAGGCAGCAGCAGGCTTAGACCCAGCCTCAGGGGGCTTCACCAAGCTCAGCTATCATTTTGAGTTGCACCCTGAGTGGCAAAGACAAGGAGAGCCCAGAACTCACATCTGCCAGCCCTGCTTGAAGGCAGACCTGTCACTCGGAGGACTGAGAATGGCCTGGGCTGTGGGTTCCATTGACTGGAACCAGCCTAGCATTGATTTCTTATTGATGGCATGGACTGCAGATGGCAGTGGGTCCCAAGCAAGGCAGTGTACCCATACGCATCAGACATGAACTTGATACACTTTAAGACCAAGTCCAGAAAGGGTCTTGGATGCTCTGCGTCTCACCAGGTCTAGGTACTAGACATCACTACACAATGCGTGATGCAAGCTAGGTACCTCAGCACAGGAGCATCAAAAACAAAACAAAAAAAAAAAACAAACAGCACTGAGTGGGAAAACACCAAATCTCACCAGTGCTTCCAGGACAGGGCCTTCTGTTCCTTTTCCATCTCCTCTGGTACTATGCCTTGATTTTTGCCATTCTTATCCATCCACACAGGAATCATAACCCAGATCTCTGAAGATAGGAGCCTAAATATTTCTTTCTTAAGAAGGAACAAGGGGTCACTCATTTGTTCCTTTTACCTCTGCTCCTCATCTCTACTCCTCTGCAGATATGGGAGAAAGGAAAACCATTTACCTCCCCTACTCCCCCTCCCACTGCACTGTCCTCTTGATGAAGGTGGGATTCTCATAAAAGGGCCTTAGATGTTGTCTTTTCATCATTAGTTTCAGGTGTGTGAAATATCCACAACTCTGAAGGCCTCCAGGCTGCAGCAGTGAGGGCAGTGGGATGTTGAGAGAACAATACCCTAGCACAGACTGTTATATTTGCTGTCTCAGCTTGCCCGAAGCTGTCAGTTGCATTATGTAGCATTTTGGGTCACAGCAGAGCTGGCTCCAGTCGGGCAGTACTGGCTGGTGGCATCCAGCAATGGGAAGAGCCAGGCTTTCTGCTCGTTTCCTGACAGGTGTGCGCTGGCCTTTCCTGTTTGGTTTTGTAATCGGGGTGTCTGGTTAGCATCCCAGCTCCCAGACAAAGATTAGCAAGCACTATAGCAAAGGTTGCTTTTTTTCCACTTACTGGATTGCTGAAGGATTGTGCCCATTTCTTTTGGACATGAATTTTGCAACCATCTCTTGAGCCTGCATCAGCTGGAGATTAGGTGACTGAGCTGTGCTGACACAGGGCTGTAGTTAAGATCTGTTTGGAGACTGCATCTAATCAGCTCAGCCCCCCACTTCTGAAAAGGCATTTCCCTCCACTAACACACCAAATGTAGGCTCTCTGTGGATTTGCACTGCCAACAGGCTGTCTGTCAGGCCGAGTTTTTAAAACCAGTCTCAGAAAGTCAGATCTTCCCTAAGAGACGTCCTCCTTTCCCCAAGGCAGCCCACCAGGCTGTCTTAGCAATGTGCTGCTGCTGAGCCTCACTGTCCTAAGAGCAGAGGCAGAGCTAGAAATTCTTTATTAGGGCTCAATGTCTTGGAAATTATTTTCACCCGGAGCCACGTGCAGTCATTTGTCTCTGAGAGGGAATCATGTTCCCCTCCTGTGAGGAGGTGGGTGGGCGACAGAGGGACATAAGCCTTGCGGATGGCAGAGGGTTGAACTCATTTCCTTCCTTCTGGTCTTGCTGTGTTTTGCGGCTAAGCTCAAGGAAATGCAAAATGATCGTCTTTCTATACTTCAAAGTCTGCCAAAGGTGCCAGAGCATTGGAAGGGCTATGTTTTATGAGCATCTACATAAATGAAACGTCATGCATGAAAGAAAAGGAGGAGTAGATTCTCAAGACTTTTGAAAAGAAAGGTTTCTTCTTCTCTGGCTGCTATTGCAGTTAGAAAGAAAAAAAAAAAAAAAAAAAAAAAAAAAGAAAAAAAAATACATTTCAATGATGCCTAATGCCCAGGTAAGAATTTGCAGCTCTCATTTGTGCCAGCAGAATTTGTGGAATTAAACATTCCAGAGATATTTTTACCCAGGAATGAGATATTTTTACCCAGGAACATTAAAACCTATCCCCCGTTTGAACTGTCATCCCTTCATTGGTTTCAAGAGGGGCAAAGAATGGGAATCTCAAGGAGTAAGAACTCTATCTGTTAGGGAATATGAGTGGTAAGGATTGATTATTTAATTTTGATGTTGCTTTAGCTATGAGACTGAAGAAGCACAATGGCTAATGTGAAACTTTTAAGAACTGGTTAGAAAAATACGTCAGGTATGACAAGTGGTCATGGAAGAAATAGAAATAATAATCAGCTACTAGGAGCCCTCTTTTCTATTCTTTCTGGGATGCTCCGTGATTCTTTGGTCAAGCATATAGTATGCTTTTTAATTATGATTGTGGCAAATCTAGACATAATTGATAAAACAGGACTGTAATATTAGAGTTGTTTGTGTAGCAACTGGCTAGAATAAGGCAGGGAATATATGAGTGTAGAAGAAATATGTGATATGCTGGGTGGTCTTTGCTCATCCTCCAAAAGTACCTTATGTTACTAATTTGTTGACTATCTCTATTAACTATCATATTTACTTGAAACAGTTCTAAAAGCATAAAGCATTATGTCAATGGAAAAAGCTACTAGAGTTCTGCTGGAATCTTTCCATTTATGTCTCATCTGTAAAAATTACATCAGACTGAGGAAAAGGAAAATGAGTCAAACAGAAAGGCATGCACAACAGGTGAAGAGCAAACAGGACAACTTACTTCGGATCCTTTTTAACAGTTGCAGGACACACTGACTGCCCTGAAGTTCCTCCTCACTCATCCTGGGCTACAGTGGGGAATGACACTGCTGAAGGATCCTTGTGGAAAAAGCCCTTCCTTTTAATTCCATGGGGTTCCTATCAAACTGCCTTCATTACTTATACCTCCACCAGCATGGCAACAAATGAGACAATCATAATTCAGGTAGGCTCACTGAATCTCTCCAAGCTATCTGAACTATGCTGCAGCTCACTTATTACCCCAGTTTTCTCTAAACCTAAAATGCAACTGATAGAGTCTCCGTGTTACACGTGTGTCTTTATCTCTGAGACACTTTCAGTAGTCAGCATGCTCCCATGGCCCCAAAAGTAGCTGTCCCACAGAAAGTGCATTGAAATTCGTTCATCCAGTAATAGTATTGAGATAAAGAGATGGGATAAAGTGGCATCCTGAGAAGATTCACTTTGGGTTGCATATCAAAAGAAGAAAAGTGGTCACAACAGACAGCGTTATTTAACTGTTTAGAAAAAAATGAGCACCCAAGACGCATTTTAAAAGCTAGTGAAACACACAGTTCAGTTAGTGATAACCTCTTCTTGGGAAGTGTCTCTTCTGGGTGTTTTTTTGCAGCCCAACAACACATTAGTGTTCCAGTCTGCAAGCATGAAAGATAATTTTAGGCTATATGTTAGGAGAAGGTTTCTAATAAGCAGAACAACGTGGATGCAGAGGAATTTTCCAACAGAGACTAAAGGAGGGCAAATAAAGCAGACTCCCAGACTGTTCTTGGAGGGCGCTAATCAACAACCAGATGGGATCATCTGATGCATCTGCCTGGGTTAATTCAGGCCTCAGGTCATGATCTGGAAATCCTCCTCTGCAGCTGTGTCACCAGCATTTTCTTGGCCTCAGCAGGATCTCAGTGAGCCTTCACACTGACACAAAGCTCCATGTGCCCCTCCCCAGCCAGACATGCACCAGGCTGTCACCTCCTCCTCCCTCCAACCAAGAGCAGCCGAATCTGCAGGTTCAGCAGGGCTAGAAACCTGCCTAGAAGTCTCCTTTGTGACTTCAACTGCCCCGGAAGCCACCAGGTGAGAAGGTTTAATTGTTCTTATTATTTCTTCCTTGGAAATGGACTAACACTTGTCATCCTCATGGGTTCTCCAAGCTGATTAGCTTGGAGAAAAAAAAAGCTATGTATAGCTGACAAGCAAGCGCTGGGAAAGAGAAGCATCCAGGAGGCTTTTCAAGTTGGTGATTAAGCAACTGAGCAGCAGATGTTGGTGACAGTGTGGTAACCATTTGGTCCTTTTCTTAAGAAAAGGGGGGGAGGGGGAGAGAGAAAAAAACAAACAAACAAACAAAAACAACAAAAAACAGCCAGACAATGGAAAAATAACTTTATTGTCTATAGTTTCCAAAACCTTTAAATATGAATAGGATAAACTGAGCTCAGTTGCTGTACATAGAAGAAGGGAAGGAAAACGCAGGATTATTTCAGGTGTCTACTGCATAATGCAAGGATTCTGTTGTCTTTACCACAGGTGGCATAAACTGAGGAAGTCAAAAGCTATGGCTGAGAGAACATAGTGAAAATAAGGGCAATGGTCAAAGCACTGGTTACCCATAATAATTTGTTTGGAGTACTTCATATTTCCAGAGTAGCAAGATGAATTGTTGGTGTTTTTTCGTTGTTGTTTTGTTTTTTGTTAGTTTGTTTGGGGGGGGGAGTGAAAAAGGCAAACAAAGATATGATTTCCAATTATGTTTTAAAGTGAGTTGAAAATCTACCTAATGGAACTGAACAGAAAGAAGAGAAGGAGAGAATATGAACCTCTGGTGGTGCGCCAAAATATTACTCATTTCTTGAGTCTACCCTGAAAGTTTAGTTTTATTTTTAAGAACACGTTCCTTTAAGGAAAAAAATAATTTCCTAGCAGAGGTAATTTCTAGATGGTTATAGAGATTAGGAAGCAGAAGCCTCAACGCTGAAGGCAATAAAAATTAGGCAGAGGAAAAGGAGAAGGAAATCTGCACAGGAGTCCTCAGGGCAACCCCAAGAGGAAGCTGCTACATGGTGGGACAAGATACAGAAAAGCCTGGCAGAGAACAGCTGTTGAGTAGGCAAAGATCTGGGTGGGAAAATGTCTATAAGGAAAAAATCATAGAATATCCAGAGTTGGAAGGGACCCGCAAGAATCATCAAGTCCAACTCCTGGCTCTTCACAGGACCACCCAATAATCAGACCATATGTCTGAGAACATTGTGTAAATGCCTCTTGAACTCTGCCAGGCTCAGTGCTGTGACCGCTGCCCTAGGGATCCTGTCCCAGTGCCCGAGCACCCTCTGGGTGCAGACCCTTTCCCTAACCCCCAGCCTGACCCTCCCCTGTCCCAGCTCCATGCCGTTCCCTCGGGTCCTGTCGCTGTCCCCAGAGAGCAGAGCTCAGCTCCTGCCCCTCCGCTCCCCTCGTGAGGGAGCTGCAGGCCGCCATGAGGCCTCCCCTCAGCCTGCTCTGCTCTGGGCTGAGCAAACCAAGGGACCTCAGCTGCTACTCAGGTCTTGCTCTCCAAACCCTTCACAATCTTCGTAGCCCTCCTTTGGACACTCTCTAATAGTTTTGTATCCTTCTTATAATAACAAGTAGCATGACCCATTCTAATTTTTCAAGCAGACAAATCTTATTTTATAGTTATATTCTAAAAGTATTTAGTCAAATATAAAAAAATCTTATCTGTAGCTGAACACACATACACGCACAAAACACTCCAATTCTGTGATGGGAATTACTGGAAAAAGATAGATGGAAAGCTTTGTTTTTATAAAAAGTTCATTGGGAAATAGTAAGATCTATGTCCCATGAACATTTCTAAAATAATTTCAATTTCTAAAATAATTTCAAGTGTCTTTAAAAATTTTATAGCATAAATAACTGAAATTGCTTGCAATTTTCTTTGTAATAATAAAAAAGTTATCTTCCTTTTAAAGCATATTCACATTTTTCTGAATAAAATTATTTCAAAAAATAGTTGACTCATGTTTAAGCCACGTCACAGACTACCACTACCATAATTTCGGGATAAAATTTCTAATTTAAGTGTAGTATCTGAATGTAAGATGAAGAAGGGTTAAAAACCAAAGAAATCAACTACTAGAAGAAGAAAATCAATTGAACTGCTACCATACTACCCAACTGGTTTCAGGAAGTGTTTGGCTTTCACAAAGAAATAGATATAACTAATGTTATGAAGCATCATAAAGTATTAAAGAACTCACTCAATCATGCTTAACTGATGTGAAACAACTCCAAGCTACTTACTCCTTATTGACTGCTCATAGAATTGAGGCTCAGAAGCACCGATAGCCATGAACTTTCCATCAGAGGGCTTGTAGGTTTCATAAAACTGTGTACCACTGTGTATGTAGTAGGTTCTCACCTCAGGGTCTGTTCCAATCTCCTAAATTTTGTTATTTCCACAGAAAATAAATTAGGTATTCTGTTCCTTCTACCTTACTTACATCCATGTTTTCTAGAGGTTAGTCCAGGTTAGATAGCAGTAGCAGCTTCATTATGGTGACATGCAGAGGTTGACTGCTCTCCTGCAGTTTAGGCTACTTAACTTGATCTGTATGAGATTTTCATGGGGATAGGTGGTAGGCCAAAATAGTGTCACCCACCCTCTGGCTCACAATGCAGACTTTGTGAACTTTCAGTTTTGAAAATATTTCAAGGTATGTCTACCAACACTTAATCAATTAAGGGCAATGAGGGAGACAAAAAAGTCACCCCTTTTGGTTCCTTAACAGACTTCCAGGCCAGTGTTTTCTCCTGGCAGCCTCAGGTTGCATTGGAACATGACCAATTCAGTGAAGAACACATCGTTGACCCTGCAAGCTGAAAACACTAATTTTTATTTTATTTTACTAAAAGACCAAGTTTTTTATTGTTCTGGAATTTTAAATGTCAGCACTTTGCCCAGGAGACAAGGAAAAGCTATGATTCATGAGCTAGATGTCAGGTCTTACTGCCCCAGAACAGAACTAAGCCTGTGAACAGAGCTCATCAGTCCAAGCATGCACTATGCCAGTGACACATCTAGAAGCCTCCAAAGTTCCTGAGTGCTCCTAAACTCCTTTGATATGCTTGGGATTTAAGGCTGCTCAGCACCTCTGGGTGAATCTCTAAGTACCATGACAATTTGATCTACTGTCATCTGGAGAACACATCATTCTTCACATTGAATGGCAAAGGCAGGAGGTCTGATACTTGGCTCCCTGGGACCACTAAATGTGTTAAACAAGTTTTATTGCCAGGCATTCTTTAAAAATTTGAGAAAAAAAAATAATACGCGCAGTCATTCAATATCTTCTGAGGTAAAGACGCTTTTTCAAGGTGAGGGTTGAGACTTCAGATGAGTTCAGAAAGGAAGAAAGAAATGCCATAACACCAGTCTACAAACTCAGTTTTTCAGTTCTATGTAATGACTCAATAGATATAGAAACTCTTGAAATGAAGTACTTGTCATTCATTTCAAGACTTGCAGCTAAGTTTTTTCTAATGTATTTGAATTTCTTTTGCTGTCTGCTTTCTCAATAATTAGCCTTTTCCTGGTCTGTTTTTCAGTCTATAGACAGCTGAAGGGCGGGACTGTTTTACAAGACAGTATACACAGTGCCAAGCACAGTTTCAGCACATATTAAGTATGTTCATATTGCAGGAATTGGTGAGAAAATCTTCTTTGCCCAAAGAAATACAGTTTGGAGCTCTAATTCTTTAGCTTAATCCATAGGGTTTTTTCCTGAAATGAGATCCATATGATTCCTAACATGAATGGAAACATTTTGTTGTTCAGGGACTGGCAACTAACTTGGGCTACAAACTAATTTAACACTACCTCATTCGCACTCTTGGGAAAGCAGATCATGGTATTATGTGGTGTTGATACAACAAAGGAATTGAAACCTATGTCTAACATACAGTTCATCAGTAGTCTAACTGGAGTTGCCTATTGAAAAAAATGCTTTAATGTGTTAGTATTAAAGATATTATTCATTGTTTTATGAGTTTGGGGCCATGAAAATGGAATGTCATGAACTGATAAACACATAGTAGGTCAAAAACAGCTGTTTCTCCTTGGGAGTTTTTTTGTTTGTTTTTTATTTGTTTGTTTGTTTTTCAGAAGCTTTTTCTTCTGAAGCAACTATCTTAATATTGCTTCTCATTAGAATCCAAAGCTGTGTTTGAATTTTAATGCCACATTCTCCAGTCTTCTTATGACTTTGATACACTCTTGCATTTGATTTCTTTGAGGTTTTTAAGCAATAGACACTACCATAACTGGACTGCCCTACACTATACAGTGACAAAAACTTCAAATATTATTTTTTCCAATATTAACAAAAGAGTTTGGAGAAATGCAAGTGTCCCACCCACCTCCCATCAAGTCTCTGAAACATCAAAGATTAAATAATTCTTGAATTTAATTTTATTAAATGAAGTCAGGAAGATCATTTGAGGAAAACTATCACAATTCAGTGAATCCGGAATATGTTAATCAAATTTGAATGTCAACTTACTGAAATGCTCAAGCTTCTGGTAGGTGAGTTAGACTTAGCATTTTTTTCTGCAATTCCAGCAATGTTTTATGGTATTTTCCCTAACTTTAGAGTGAATTACAATTTTTGCAGAATGAAATCATTGCCATAAATGGATGATGACACTGCAAAGGTATGTAATACACTTTTCGTGAAACATTCTCAGAATAGAAATCTTTCAAGAATATTTTGGTTTGAAAGTTCACATTCAGCATCAAAATTGAAAGGAAGAGAAAGAGAAAAACAGGAAATTCTAATAAATTTCTGCAGGAATCTTCTGGAATTACACCAAGATGATCAATATTCCTTCTTTTATCCCAATACACAATAACAAACCTTGGGCCAAATTAGCAACTTGAGCCATCTTGAACCCTCAAAACTGGGATCTCAGAAGACCCTTGTGCTTCTGCCTCAGTTTAGCAGGTAAAACATGTCTTCTGAGTATTTACATCAGGAAACTTGCATCTACTTCTTGTTTGTTTTCCTGTTGTTTCAAAATTTGACCCTTGCAAACAGATGTCCAGCTTTTATCAGACCTTCTATTACGTCCCTGGGTTTGTGATAAAACATGAAATGATTGTAGGTAGCACCAAATGTTTAACAAAAAATAGTATCTGCCAGTTCCAGACATTTGTACATATCATATACTAGATACAGAGAAGTACATACAGTGCTCTGAAGTACAGCCAGATGAACATACATCTTTCTTCATCTACACAAGAATGTGTGCTACCCTTCACTCAGACACAAATATTTCCCAATACAGTTGGCTGACAACGATTTTCCCAGCACTTAAAATGCCTTGCATCTTAAGCCTTTGCAATGAGGTCAGTCTCTCAGAGGCGCAAAACTGTTGGCTTTATTACAGTACTCAGCAGCATCTGTGCCTGAGATGAAGTTGCTCTCTAGAGCTAACTCTGAATCAAACTGATTTAGCATCTCTCCCCACGGCTGCAAAAAATAAAGCATTAAGCCGTGGGAGAAATTGTACAGCATTGATATTTCCAAAATTCAGGAAAGAAACTCAGAAAGTTTAATGAAGTTCAAGTTTGATTCAAATTTTCCAAAGTTGCTAGGTCTGGAATCCTCTCTATATAATCTCACCACCCTCATCATTCTTCTGGACCTCCTCAGTTTCTGAATTACCTTCTGCATGGCAAGGCAGTGCCAGAATACAGTGGTCAGCCATTCTATTTATAAACACAGTATTTTGCTGAACATAAAATGAAGACAGATTTTTTATTATTATTATTATTTTAAATTTCTTTCATTTCTCATTTTCTTGTGTGATTTTTTCACTCACCAGTTCTGTACACAGAGGTGAGTCGGTGTGCAAGAGGAAGATGAGCTAATTAGGAGAGTGCCACATCTATTTAATTTTTCTTTTAACAGGCACAACAATTACATCTGCAGAACTCTTACATTCAATTACATTAAAAACCTATGATTTTCCACAAAGAAAATTGAATGCAATGATTAAACTTCTCTTATGGCTAACATTTCTTTTTAAGCCATTTTAATGATATTTCCAGAATAGCTAATTACATGGGGGAGTAATAAAAACAAAGAAAGGCTGGGTTTTTTGTGTGTGTGTTTGTTTTTCGTTTTTGTTTTTTTGTTTGTTTGTTTGTTTTATGGGTTTTTTTTGGTTGTTTGTTGTTTTTTATTTTTTTTTTCATATTTTTAACCAAGTAGCAATCTGTCACCCTCAAATTTTCAATTATTCTAAAGTTTCTATCTGACTCAAGTCATCATCGTTCTTCCTCTGAACCTTAAAACACATTATGACACTAAGGGTCCTACTCAAAGCAATCTTAATGATCTTTATTTGTCTTTAATGTACAAATCATGCAAAGTAGCATAACCCTAATTTTAATACACAGTTATAGTAAGTTAATGCCTGTTAATATTTGGTAGCATTAAAGAGATACAAAGAGATACACCTGGTCCCATGTTCTCATCTACACCTGGACTCTAACAGACACATGCTATGAATTGAGATTCATGTTCCTGCTGCTTTGCTGTTGTTTCACTGTTTTCTTATGCTCCTTCATCTCTCTGCACCTTTTTGTGCCCTCCTTGTTTCATGTGAGCCTTCTGTAGTAGGAACTTTTTGCTCCATGTTTGTATAATGCCTGGCACAGATGAGCTGTGGCCACTGAGAAGGACACTGCAGTTGTCCCATTTAGCAGTAGTGGTACAGTGTACACCAAGTCCTGACTTACCTGAGCATGCTGAATTGACAGCTGCTTCTCCACTAAACCATTTAAAATTGGATATTGTGTGTGTATGCGTGAAGTTTCACGTACCCCAAGGAAAACACAACATGAAGCAGTTTAATGATCTAACCAGAACATTTTCAGTTGACAAGTTTTCAGTTACATTACACTCAGCTGAAGCTGCACACCATATCCCATTAGTTTAGCACCTGAGAGGCTGTCTAGAGGGTTGATGTGAAGCAGAATCTAGTTTCAGAAAATCTGTTTAGAAAATCAGTGCATCAGTTACAATCAGTTACAGGAGATTTTTCAAAATGGGAATTTGCTGCTCATGGCAGCTGGGGACTAAACTGCTTTTTGAACTTCCAAAAATCTTTGTTTGCAAAACCTTTTAGCAAGTGTATCTGTATTGCTTTACCTGATAAACTTTTATAAAAGCAATAAATTCTTTCTATAATTATATTTAAATAAAATCCCATTAAAAAGATCTTTGGGTATGGGACTGCAAGTTCTTTCATTTATAAAGGGATTTAATTTATCTACTTTTGTATCAGGAGTCTACCCAGGGCTTACTGAAATGCTTGTAGATCATCTGGAAGCTTGAAAGGAAACTTGATACATTCCTGTGGCTTTGGGACTCTGCAATAGGAACTCTGTTTGGGAACCATCAGTGAAAACGAATTGTGACTGAATGTGAGTTTTCTCTAAACTAGTGGCATTTCCCAAGAAAACTAAAAAAGTGGGATTTTCGATCACAAATTATATATGAACCTCTTCCATATGAGTATCTGCCTCCCTCATAAAACATGATAGTATATAGGCTTTATATACTCTGCTGGAAGTAATAAAAGAAAAAATAATGTAACAGCACAGTCATTTGATCTTTCTACCTCCTTTATTTTCTGCACTTAATTTTACGTATGGAAAGACTTGCACAAAAACTGACCACTCTAATAAAAACAGATAAAGTCCAATACAGCTTGCTGAAGAGTAGGACTAGAGTTACACTCTTGTTTTTTGGCACAAGGAAAAAGATGATTTAAAAAAAAAAAAAAAAGTGTAATCTGGTTCTCAGACCTGCCAGGCTCTCTAGGCATTACCCAAGTTACATCCATACTGTATCTGCAGATTTTTTTTCATTTTGACTATTGGTAATGTTTTTTCCAGTTTGAACCTACCAGTAAGCTCTTACAATCACAATTAGCTCACCAGACGGCAGTGAGTGCATTTTGAAAGGAACAGATTATTTACAGCTCGCTGGGACTCTGGGATTTTCAGAAAGCAAGAATGGAAATTCATCTCCATTTCTGATTCTAAAGTATTCCTCATAAGTGCTTGAAGATGGCCTAACTAGTCAAAGTATGTGCAGTTGGCAGCTGAGCATTGCATCCTCACATTGGGAAGGTGCCTCAGCCAAAAGCCATCGGTGGCCCCCAGGGAAAATTCCACACCTGGCTCTAAGCACAGCATGGCATGCACCAGTTTTTGGTAATTTTTAAAATCACTGTTTTTGCCAAGGAGTAAATAAATAAATAAATAAATAAATAAGAAACTAATAATGCAGAACTTTTTTTTTTTTTTTAAATGGATGCAATCGATTGTTTCCCAGATGGTAAAGCTAAAATGGCTCAAGGGCAGCAGTTCTAGTACTTGCTCTGGCCCAGCACCGTGTCTTCTTTCATGGGCATCTGCACCCCAGAAGAATGGAAATACAGACAGCATCTGATGAGTCTGCATACCTCATCAACACTCATTTGGAGATGCTGAGTTGAACCCCTGCCAGGATATATGACCTACATCATTGGGGATTTCACATCACCCGCACAGATCTGGGAGGATTTCAAATGTAAAGTGTTTATACACGCAGCTGCAAGCTGTAGAACACAAAATAACAAACTGCTGTGCTTTCATTCAAGACATACAGATGTGGGTATGCAAAACTGGTAACTCTCCCTACACTTACCACTGTTTCCATGTAATCCTGCAGGTAAGGCTGGGTTGTATTTCTGCTCAACAAACATGTGGAGTACCAGGTATAGTCTCTGTCATTCTCACAGTCACTTAAAGCAGTGACTAGCAGCATGCGGTGTTTCTGAACATCCCAAATAGACCTCCTTCTGTAACTGTTAATGGGTTATTTGAAGAGGTGGAGCAGAGCCAAAAAAATTTCAAGAGCTGAAAGTTTAAAGATGTGGAGACATCCATATATCCTTGCTCTTTCTCTCTCCGAGATGCCTGTGTGGAGGTAACAAGTCTTCTTACCAAGAACTACAGAAATCCCCTATTTATTATCCATGTCATCAACTTCCATCTTGCAGCTATGTCAGCTTCCCAAAGAACAGTGGGTGTTTCTGTTCCAAATAATCAGGCCAATAGTTGTCAGCTATCACTGGTAACAGTCACAGCCTGCAGCGAGTGTCTCTTACCTAGATTATAGATTAAGTAGACACCTGTTGGGGAGGTGTTATGGTTAGATGCTCTTCAGTAGACTGTCGCAGTTGGCCCCATCAAAGTTTAATCTTCAGCACAACCTCTTGGGGTGTTGTGCGCTCTCCTAGTCCTGCACTCCCAATGCCCTTGTAGAGACAGGTATAGCAGTCAAAACATGACAAAGCTATAAGTACAGCAAGTATAGGAGGTATTGGGACGATACCAGCTTAATCTATAGATAGATTGTAAAGGTACTGGGTGTAGAGCTGTACTTCTGCCTAACAGCACGCCTTCAGCAAACAATTTACTCAGTGATAAATAGTTCATTTGTTCAACATCTGTTTGGACAAACAAAAATGAGCTCTGCTTTCATAGAAACACATAACTAGAAATCAAAAGTGTCCTGGTTATCTCGGTTATCACAATCTTGCTTTCTCTGTGCATTATTATGTGCCTGCTGCACATTCAGTATCATTTTTCTGGTTTTGTAACCTCTGATTATATCCTTGGGGAAGAAAATGGTGGAGAAGCAGGAAAGCTCAGCAGAAATATGATATGAAAGACAAAGCTTGGCACGGAGTTGTAGCTACTAATGAAAACACTCCCTGGGTAGCTTGCTCGTACTCTGTAAAGCTGAATCTGCATGAGGTAGTCCAACAGCACAGCTGTAAGCAGCACAGTCACAAAGACATCATTTAAACCTTTTAATGATAATGAGCTTTGGAACATATAAAACCTATTATATGATTTGGCTTCACCATAGGAGCAACCTGAGAAAATGGTACCTCCTCTATGCTTAGATCTGCAGTTAGGGTGCCTGCTCACATCTACCAGGTGTAGGCGCACACTGAAAAACTCAGAAGTTCAGATCGTTGTATCTGATGCCCTTTCTCATAGGAAGTCTGATCCTATACTTTCCAATGAGGCATTTTCCAAAAACAAACATATCATCCTGCAAATTCTGTGAGTACTTTTGTAAAGCAGAAGTCTGTTGTCACAGTGGTCCTGCTATGATTTTTAGGACCAGCATTGACTTATGGAGGGAATCAGAGGCTCAATTCTCATTTACACCACATAACCTCACTGTAACTCCCATGATTTCCAAGCAGTTTTTCAGCCATGTTGCCTCCCACAGCAGCCTGTCCCACGGTCTGTCCTGTTTGGGATGTTCTCCCTGACATTTACACTGAAACTTATTTGCTGCAGTTGACTTGTCTGCTTCTAATCTTACCTCTCATGACAACAGCACAAACATCATTCCCCTCAACTCTTCAAGAGTTCTTGACATAGTTAGACATAGCTGATCAAGAAACATCTTATCCCACAGCCCTGCCTCCAAGGGCTCCAAGCAACCCTAATTCATTTAACCTCCCCATGTTCCAGACAGTCCTTGTTGTCTGCCCTGGGAGCTCACCAGCCAGACCACTGATTTCCTCTTACAGACCTAAACAAAACGAGGCCATGGCGTTCCCAGTAGCTAAGAAGTGGAAGGGTGTCATGCTTCTCCCAAGATGTACTCTTGTTTATACATCAGAGTCTGTTGTTTGCCTTTTTCCACTGCAGCTTGACTTTGTTGACTCTTGCTGGGCTTGTTTATGCTCATATGTCCTGTTCCTTGACATCCTTCACGGAGTGATCCACATTGCACGTAGACTGCACGTGATGCAGAGCAAGACATTCACGTTCAGGCCAATTAAATGCATCTTGAATACATGGAATATGTTTTCCAACCTGTAAAACAGGTCATGCCACTTCAGCTTGAAGAGGCGGCTTTGCTGCCAGCAGCACGGAGTCAGTACTGACCTACACATTGATCTAGCCCCTCTTCTTGTCACCCCGCACTGCTTGGGGAGCACAAGGTGGCATTTGGCTTTGTTTGCAGTTCACACAACTTGTTTTCCACTGCCTCTGGGGAAAAGGGCCACCACAAACCTCCTGCAAGCCAGACCTGTCCCACCAGCTGTCAGAAGGCTGCTAATCTAGAGGTCTTTGTATCTTTTTGAGTTTGAGAGAGCATATACACTTTATCTTGTGAAAGTCATTTTACTTACTCATGCTTCCAGTTCTCCCATGCTGTTATTCCTTTCTCCTATACATGATCATCTTGCTCATGTGATATAGGAGCAATTTGTAACCCCGCTCATCCTTTTCTCCATCTAGATTGTTATTGCAACCAGTTCTGCCCCATCTTTACACTGAGTAAAGGGACTCAACACACCCATTGTAAAACCCTCACTTTCCTAAAAGCCTTACTCTTTCAAGGATGTAGGAAACGGTACCCACCTGAGAACTGGGACTAACTGCAGCTGGGCACTGTGAGATCTCAGCCACCAGTAGTTTGCCATATTGCTCTTAATAAGATAAACCTGCCCCATGTCAATGCCTGAATGAAGTATCAAGCAGTTTAAACTTTATTTGCATTCACACCACAAGGGAGGTAGACATTAGCAGATTGCAATGCCCTGTGTAGAAAAGTAGAAAGCAGGTGGAGGGAAGTGATTTGCACCAGGCAAGGTGAGCAGTTCAGGAAGATAAGGAAAATATCAAGCTGATCATTTACATCCATGTAGTTCTTGACTTCCGATCTTCAACAAATATATACTAAAAATGAATCCAGAGAAGATAAACAAATATATACTCAAAATGAATACAGAGAATATAATGTATGATTTTTTTTTAAGGCTGAATCGCATCACGCAGTGTTGCTAGGAAATTTACACCTCACTGATGCTGCCAAATGCAAAAAAGAAAGCTGAAAGCATTTGGGTGACAGACAAAAGATGAAGCAGGGATGGCACAGCATTATCATAGTCCTACTTATTGCAAGGGTAGAGGAATAAAGTCATTATAAGTGGGGAAAAAAAAAAGAATGAAAAAAATAGACATCAGGAAACAGATGGATAGGTAACATTAGGCTTTGTTTTCTTTATATTGCACCGTTAATGGTCTCATACTTCTTCAGTGAGAAGTACTATTTTGAGACCATGCACTGTGCTTCCTCATGAAGAATTCACACCATTTTTTTGGTTTTCTTCTCCTTGATTTTATAATAAAAATCTTTTAGACTGTGGTTGGTCTGTGTATTGGAAACATGGTGGATGGGGCAGGGGAAGGAATTCCAAAACCGTAACATCCCATGTTAAATGGAGCAAGCAGAATATGGAACAGTGGCAAGCTTATGCCTTACAAGTGTCTTAATATTATTTAATGTTAAAGATAAAAAATGTCATATTTTTATTATTCTGAGTGGAGGTAAAATGCAATTAGAACCAAGTAGGGATAAACAACAGCCCTAAGCTGTCTGTGAACATCTAACCTGATGATCATGCACAGGAACAAGACATTAATTTTAACATTCAGCAAACTCATTCGTCTCTAAATTATCCCTGTGGTGATGATGTGTAGGTCATTCCTGAAATCAAACTTCAGATTATAAAGGAAAAATCATATGGCACCTTACTGATGCATGTTCTTGCACTGAACTTAGAATGCTATGTACAGAGATTGCTGGATAATTACTTGCCCACTGAGCTAGAATTGGCTGCTATCTTTTTCCTCCATATGAAACCACAGAGCTTTCTCAGTACATTATTTCCACATGTGCATATATTACTATCCCTGCCCCTTGATCCAGCAATTTAAAACACATTTATCATATGTTAAAAAAAATGAAAAATAAAGAATAAAGAAATGTCTATCTGCTTACTTAAAATGTCATTCAGCACAGTCCATCAATGTGAGCCAGGAGTGTGGCCAGAGAAGGGTAGGGGGCTGTTGTGAGTCAGATCAAGGGACTCTTCTTCTTATATCATTTCATTCTTCTTTATTAAGAATACGATTTCTCTTTCCTCTCTCCAGCCATATTAAAATACTTTCTTGCCTAAATAGCAGTGCCTAAAGTCTCGTTTCAAGACATGAACACCATGCTAGTGTCAGAGAAATATGTGCTACCACAGCAAAGGGAGCAGGATACCAAGGTCTGAATGCCAGCATCACCAAGTTTCATTCCCCTGCAGGCGACAGCAGACATTTTAAAGGTGCCCATGGGTTGGAAAAAAAAACAAGAAGTCAACACTGCTGATCCACTTACTCATGCATCTGCCTGACACCTTCAGGACTGCTTGGTATGTTCACCACAATGTTTACACTTAAACTCAGGTTTCCCAATGTTCAGTCCAATGTACTCTGGTTGCTTCTACATTTTATTTTGCAGCTTTCACCAAAGCCACCTTTTTAGGAATTCATTTGTAGTCTATATGCCTCTTCTTTCCAGTTTGCCTTATTTAGAGGTAATATCAATACTGAAACCAAAAATGTTAAATCTAATGCTTTGATTCACACCCAAAATGTATATTAAATGTCATTTCATGCTACACTTACACAATCTCATCTATTATTTATATTTAATACAAAAATATTTTGAAATGAAACAATTATTGATAGAACCAAAATTCAGATTTCCATACAACTGGCTTGGAATGGAGACCACACCAGCAGATGCCTCCAATCAGGCTACAAAATCAGCTTGCAGGTATCTGCCACCCTGCAAATTTTAAACCATCTGGAACTGTAACAGCGTATGAATTTCTTCTAATAATCAAATGCATTGTAATAAACTCAGCGGGTTCCCCTTTTCTTACATGCTCTCACGAATAGTGAATCAGTTTTATTGCATTCTCAATGGCCATAATAAAAGTGTCGGCCCAGAAGATACACTTCTAGGTGTATTAATCTTTTCATATATCAGCTGGGAGATTATGGCAGACAATAGTGCATAAAACTACGTAAAATATATAACATAAAACTACAAAGCAATGCTTGTAGTTAGCTTGAAAGGAATCAGCTGTATGGATTTCATCAAAGACTTAAATTGGAGGCAAATGAAGAAAATAAAAAGGGATTCCAAATGCAACAAACAGTACATAAAATACAAGGCAAAAACTAAAATGTAAATTGCTAGTAGGAATATAAACACAAAGCAAGTTTTGTATCTAAATAAGCCTGTTCTGCTCTGCAACTGTTTACTCAACTGCTTGCTATGGCCTTATGGAAGTAGAGCCAGCAATAGGTTTCTGAACCCACATAAATAATTGTGTCAGGGACATGGAGAAACCATGCCCATGCCCCAGGCAGGATTTACAACAGCTCCTTTGTGAACCCCCACATCGTCTCACATACGTCTTTGATATTCTCCTGGTTCACTATGTGTTTCTAGGTCATTTGTACCTAGCCGCTTTATCAGGCTTTGAATTCTCTCAGTTGTTCAGCTACAACTGTTAGATTTCATATTTTTGGTCCCTGTTATATTGTTTTTGAGCCTACAAGCTATTTTCAAAAACTTAAGTCTTCATGATACTTTGAATCTTTTTTGTCAACATTCACACTAAATGCTCCCTGTTGCCATTTAAATCTCCTTACTACTTTTACTATTACAGTGGGAATGAAGCACGACTTCTTTCCAGCAGCTTTCCCCATATTTGAAAACTTTTCCTATTAACCACCACTGTCTCTGTTGGAGGTTAAACCACTGCTTTCTTTAACCCTTTCATCTACAAGGTCCCTGACCAGTCTGCCTTTCTCATGAGCATCCCCTTGTTACCAGAGCACTGTGCCCAGGCAGGGGCAGCCACTCTGGCTGCAGAAAGCATGGCTTTACAGACAACACTCCTGTTGACACCACTCAGCATGTTTGCTTCTTGTGCAATAGCTTGACAAATGCTGTCAAACACAATAGCTTGGCCTATTTTCAGTAGATGATCCCTTTGCATCCTGGCTTTTCTTCTGTTGAATGTCTACCTCCTTAGTCATTCCCCTGTCTGGATCTGTGCAGCTGAATTCCATCTTTCCTGAGGACAGATCTCTATTCTTATCTTTGTTTTTAGGTAGGATTTCTGCCTTTTGTCTAGGTCAGCTTGAATGCTACCTTCTGGAGTGCTAGTAGTCTCTCCTAGGCTATTGATGCTTATGAATATAAAAAGGCTGCTTTCTAGATTTTCAAGCAGGACTCTGTGAAACTTGACTTAATATAACTTTCCCTCTGGTGTTTCAAAAGCCCTCCCAAGCCTTCATAATACTTCCTCCACTGTCACTTTTTTTAAAGCTTTCAAAGCCCAGAAGAGCATGATAAGCAAGTTCCAGTTTCATCTGGATGTCTATGCATCAGAAGGGTGTAGGGTTTGCTTTGTAGTGAATAACAGCAGAAACACATCCAGCCCCATTAGTGAAACCTGTAGAGGATGCTTCCAAAGAAAGGTATGAAAGTCTAGATGCATAATAGTCTACCTGTGTACCAAATTTATTCCTCATCTCTTACAGTTCAAGCTAGCTTACACTCTGATGCATGAGGTATTAACTTCTCCTTATCTGAGCCTTTCTTCCCTTTACAGGTACATCTCATCTCTCTCACTAACTCGAGCCTGATGACTAAGACACTTTCACTAAGATGCTGATCTCCTCGGGCTACAAGTAGCAGAAGTATTAAATAAGTAAATAAATAAAGCTTTTGGGAGCATGATCCAAACAGGAGATGATGTAGATACTCTGACTAACCCTTCTAGGAAGACTATCTCCTTCCGTCATTTACTTAGATGGTACAGGAAGATTTGTCTCCTCATTTAGCCTGCCAAGCACACAGTCCTGTCCCCACTCACAACTGTGTTTCCTGGAATGGTAGCAGAATGCTAGTGATGAGGAGTAAACTCACAATGAAAAGAATCAAAGGGAAAACAAGAAAAGGATCATTTGCAGAGCAAGCAAAGCCTGCAAACAGCATCCATCATTTTATAGCATTAGAAAACGTACATTACCTACATTCAACAGTCACTGTCTGCTGCAATTCTCCTTGCCATTAAAGATTACCACCCCTCAGTCCTGTAATGGAGGGGAAAGGAGGCAGAAAAGGAACAAGCACAAATGGCAGACATTTGGCACTGAAATTCTAGAAAAATATTGTAAATACAAATGTTCTCTTTAGTCTGAGGGAAAATATTTTTAGAAAACAGAAAAACCATGAAAGCATCTTCCACTGTGGGAAGAAACATCAGCATAAGTTATGAGTTAAGGATAAGAACACACAACTAAAACACATGGCAATAAGATTAAGCAGAGTATTTTTATTACTTTATTATCTTCTCATATTGGGCAAAACACATAAACCCACAAACCTGCAGCTCTTAAAGCAGTTACACATATGGGAGGAAAAAGCAAGGAACAAGACTGAACACTCCATATCTTTTATCATCTGCTGCCATCTGGAAATATGTGTATTTTCTGCAAGGTCTGGGAACTGTACAGAGTTCTCTAGGTGAAAAAAGCAAATGATAAAACTTAATTTTTCTCCAAAGTTAATACAATAATATTAATTCAGTGGATTCTTGATCTTTACAACCAAGGTATTTCAGATTCTACCAAGATAATTTGCCATCCCTATTCTCTTCCCCATCCCTTTTGATATAGGGAGTGACTGAGTGGCTTCGTTTCTGGCAGATGTCAACTCACCACAGCAGGAAAGCAGGAATACAGCTTAATAAGAACATATGAAAGCATGTAAAGCATGGCACTTGCTTGAAAAGTTAGAAAGCAGCAGGAGGCAATCAAAGGCATGAGTCATCATACTAATAGGGTTTGATCAACAAGGTGGAGATAAGTCATGCATTTACTCTCGGGTGGGAGTAAGAGATGCTGAGCACCATGTATGTGATGCAGTGAAAGGAGATGAATGGGATGCAGAAAGAGGGCTGATGCTGTAAGTGAAGAACTAGGGAAATTATGTGTGATGGTATTGTAGATGAATATACAAGGTATATGCTCTATTTGTTAAGACCAGTTTAAAATGTTATTAATGAGAGAAGAAAAGATACAGCTATGAAGACAGATAGAAAAGACAGTCTTAGACATTTGAGAACAAGATTGCAGAAAGTTAAAATAACAGTGTGTAGGAACCTACAGAATCCCAACACAAATGCAATGCACAGGTTAGAGACCTATGTGACATCCAGGATTGTGATAAGATCCTCAGTCACACAGAAAAAAAAAATATATATATAGTGGAGTGCTTTACCAAATTCAGTAGTCTTTTCAAAGAATGACTGAGGTTGGAAGGGACTTCGGGAGACTGTCTATCCCAATCCCCAGTCAGTCCACAGAACTGGACCCAGCATTCCAGATGCATCTCACCAGTGGTGAGAAGAGGACAAGGATCACGTCCCTTGAGCTGCTGGCAACGGTCTTTCTCACACAGCCCAGGACATCATTGGTCTTCTTTGCTGCAAGGGTAAATTATTGGCTTATGTTAAACTTGCCCACCAAGACAAGCTGGGACAGAACGAGAACAAGAACTTTTTCTGCCAAGTGAGTTTCAAGCCCATTGGCCCCCAACCTGTGCTGGTGCTGGGGTTATTCCTCCCATATGGCAGGACTTGGCACTTTTCCTTTGTTGAACTTCATAGGGTCCCTCTGCACATGTTGTTTCTTCAGCTTTTTCAGGTCCTCTGGATTGCAGCACACCCATCTGGTCTAGCAAACACTACTCCAAGTTTTCTGTCATCTGCAGCCTTGGTGAAGGTGCACTCAATCTCATCATCCAGGTCATTAGTTAAGAAGTTAAAAAGTACTTGCCCCAGTATTGACCCCTGAGGTACATCACTAGTGACTGTTCTCCAGCTGGACTGCAGCTATTCATCCATAAATGAGACTGAAAAGGATTTTAGTCTTGACAGGCAACAACAGCTCTGAAGGAAAAAGTAGATTTGTGAGACTTCAGGAGAGGAAGGGTTGCTGAGCTCATGTGCAAGACAGAAGTTGGGGTAAAAGAGATGAGCAAGGCTAAGCAGAACCTGAACTAGAAGCTGAAATGGATCCTGAAGCTCTTCCAAGGGCAAGCTGAAGGAACAGTGAGAAAATTATGAGGAGAATTACGAAAACGAAGAGTTATGGACACTAAACTTCTAAAGCATCAAGAATGACAGCTAAAATAGAAATTCATGTGAAAAATAATCTGAACATTAATTCAATTAGTATTTTATGAAGTCTTTTGGCATAAAGACTTCTTGGAGCTCTTTTAACTGCCACTTCAGCCCCCAAGCAGCCTTTAGCTCTGTACCTGAAAGGATTGCTCCTGTTACAGGAAAGAATAGAGTCCCCGAGGTTCTCCATGAGCACAAGAGGCCTGCCAGAATAGAGTTCATCACATCATGTTATGTATACTATTTCTGCTGAAATTAATGACAAGCTTCCACTAACTTAGAATCACAGAATCATAGAATATCCTGAGTTGGAAGGGACCCACAAGGATCATCGAGTCCAACTCCTGGCTCTGCATGGGACCACCCAAAATCAGACCATATGTCTGAGAGTGTTGTCCAAACACTTCTTGAACTCAGTAGGCTTGGTGCCATCAGCATTGCCCTAGGGGAGCCTGTCCCAGTGCCCGATCACACTCAGGATACAGAACCTTTCCCTAACACCCAGCCTGACCCTCCCCTGTCCCAGCTCCATGCCGTTCCCTCGGGTCCTGTCGCTGTCCCCAGAGAGCAGAGCTCAGCACCTGCCCCTCCGCTCCCCTCGTGAGGGAGCTGCAGGCCGCCATGAGGCCTCCCCTCAGCCTGCTCTGCTCTGAACAAACCAAGGGACCTCAGCTGCTTCTCGTATGTCTTGCCCTTTATACCCTTCACCATGTTTGTAGCCCTCTTCTGGACACACTCTAGTAGTTTTTATGTCTTTATATTGTGGCACCCAAAACTGCACGCAGTACTCAAGGTGAGGCCACACCAGCAGAGCAGGATAACCCCTTCCCCCAACCAGCTCGCAATGCTGTGCTTGATGCACTACAGAGTACTGTTGGCCCTTTTTGTTGCCAGACTCCATTGCCGACTTAAATACAATTTGCCATCAACCAAAACCACCAGGCCCCTTTCCGAAGGGCTGTTCTCTAGCCTCTTGTCTCCCAGCCATTACATATATCCAGGGTTGCTGCATCCCCAGTGCAGAATCCAACACTTGCTCTTGTTAAATTTCATGTGGTGGGTGATTGCCCAGCCCTCTAACTTGTCAAGATCTCTCTGCAAGAACTCTCTACCCGTTGTGGAGTAAACAATTTAATGTCATCCGCAAACTTAGTATACCTTCAAGTTCTGCATCCAAGTACTTTATGAAAACATAAAACATGAAAAGGGGAAGAAAACATGGTGAAAAGGACTCAAGGGTTTCTCTTCTCCAAGCTGAACAACCCCAGCTCTCTCAGCCTTTCTTCGTAGAAGTACTCCAGCCCTCTCATCATCTTCATTGTCCTCCTCTGGACTTGCTATAACAGCCCCACATCCATCTTGAGCCGGGAGGCCCAGACCTGGATGCAGCACTCCAGGTGGGGCCTCACAAGAGCAGATGGGGATTATCCCCTCCCTCGACCTGCTGGTCACTCCTCTGTTGATGCAGCCCAGGAT